ATAGTAAACACTTTTGTAAAATCACAGGTCTGTTAAAACATTTTATCGTGTAATAATTTTAATGGAATTAAAACGGAACAAGATTGTTGTGCTTAAAATTTAAAATTACATAAAAAAATGTTTACCCCCCCCCCTGAGCTATATTTCTGTAGACGTCTCTGCCCTATCATTAATCAAATTAAACTTAATGTACCATTCTTGTTTTGATAACTGCCATTCTTTTTCTTCTTGACCCTATAAATTGTTTTTATATTTTTGTATTATATAAATAAATAAAATATTTGATAAGACTTGACAATTTACTATAAAATCTAGAGGTATATATGGAGAATTGCTTGGACACAACTTTTTACTAAGTCAATGGAGTGTCTAAATCCTTAAAAAATATACCACCCACGCCTCTTTCTTCTCTTCTGTGATCATTATTCATTCATTAAGTAACATAAAATCAGAGTTAGTAATTTTGATAAAAAGTTTTATTTTTAATTGGACGAAAATATAAACATAAGTTCTAAACTTTCAAACAGAGGTTATAACTAATGAGATAAAATAAATGTTTCAATGCAACTATTTATACACTTAAATGGCTGGAATTAATTTGAAAATTATTTCATACACAAATTCATAGTATTTTTGTATTATTTAAAGCACATTTTTAAAAACTTATGAATGGCCTAGAGTAACTCTAAAAAAACTAGAAGTTTTTATTTTGAAAATAAATAAAATGCTTAAATTCTATTTTCTTCATTCAAATTTGTATCAAGGTAAAAATACCAACAATGTCTAACAATCTGTTTTATTTTACCATGATTTGACATCCATAAATATTACTTTAAACATTTAATAGTTTAATGTAAACCAATCCAGTTAACAATTTATGTATTCATTTAACAGTAACCAGTATACATATATTATTTAGATAAATACACAATTACCAAGCTCTTATCTAATCTATAGTCCTAAATGATAAATTATCATGAACCACAGATACGTTGACGCCAACTTTTTCAAAAATCTTTCCTTTCTGTAATACAACATATAACTTCACCACCACCTTCCAGTCTGATCCATCAACCTACAAGGAATTTTATTATGGTTTCTTCTTTTTTGAGTGATCGACACAATTCTACTTAAAAGTTATAAAAAATGGTCATAAAATTAATAAATATCAGTTGAAAATTTACCTGTATATTCATAATCATGAGTTCCCTTTTATTTATCATATCTTCAAGTCTACTTTCTAATGATTTTAAGTATTTCACAGTGTCTGCCATGAAGTTGTTGACAGCCAATGATTTTGCTGCCACAAAGCTATAATACCATACAGTAATACTCAATGTATAAGACATAAGTACCTAATACAATGAGTGCTTTGTAATAAACCAAAAAATGAGGAGGTATACCAGGAGGTGTTAGTTTTTAAGGGGTATTTTTTTTTGTAAATGATTTGGAAGTAACTACGTCTTAGCAGTTAAAAAAAAATTGTAAAAAAAAAGGTTAAGCTAGCACAAAATATGAGAAACCAACAGTACACTGAAGAATGGCCAAGGACGACATATACAGGCAATAAATTCTAGTAAATACTCACCTACATTTATTGTCATTCTTGCGCTTGAAGATTGTTACCCTATAAAACGTTTTAATGGTGGAAGAAATTATTTTCAGTATCTCGTCTCAGAGCAACGGCCAACGGTTCAAACTAGATTGACAAAAACGTGTAATCCAAATCACTCAGACAATATTCCCGTTATGAAAAAAAAATATGTCCGTAAAAAACCATTCTAGACGGCGCGAAACGTTCAAAGGAGTAGTTCGGAAATGGTATTGAATCCGAAATAATTTTAATAACGAAATAACCGTCTTTCCGAATACAAGGGGAAAATTTGAGTCGTCACCGGCAATAATTTGAAATTCTAACGTAATCGAAATTCGAAAATATGATAAGAAATGGAGTGGTGATATCATTAGAACGGCGGCGGCGAAATACGTGATTTAACGTACTCTGGTGACAGCCATCAATTACAGGACATTGCATAGTTTCTGATTAAATGCGAACACACTGCACGGAAGTTCATAAGTATAACTTACCCGATTATTATTTAATCTCGGATTATATGAAGTGAAAAAACTCTATTAAATGTATGCAATTATGCTGCATTAAAGACTGAAATATGCGAAGATAATGTCATTAGGCGTGCACAGACCTCTTTTTCAGGTATGCAAAAAGCTGCCACTACCCTCCCACACCACTGAAATTTATTTTAAGCATTAAAAGTTCTGGTTAGGTTAGGTCTGGTAAAAATATACATATAAATGTCTAAATAATTGTTATAATTTTATGTTTAATTTTTTTCTTTAAAAAGAGTGACTGAATAATCATTTTTTATTGTTATAACCGTCTTTATAATTTAAATTTAAACGAAATTATAAAAAAAAAATTAAATTAATTATGTAACACTTGAAATGGTTTCAGTAATATATTTAAATAGTGTAAATAAACAAAATATAGTCATATCCTTCAATGAAAAAACAAAATAAATTTGATAAATAATTATAATTGATCATAATATAATAAAAAATAAATAGCTAACTTGAAGGACCTTCGACGATCAGACAAAAAGTTTTTGTAGACTGAAAATAACACAATTAACGGTAATGATTAATAATTTATAATAATATAGACAATTTTTAATATTATACTTATAATTTATAAAATATATGCTACTTAATCTATAAACAATCTATATATGCATTTATATGTTCAAAAATATCAAATATGCAAAATTAATTTGCATATTTGCAATCGAGATTTCATAAATCGAATTTGTATTATATTTAGGGTATAACCCTCAGTTCCGATGAAAAAATATAGTTGAGGTACACAAAAAAAAAAAAAATAGTAGAGGAACTCCGTCCCCCTGCGCACCCCCCAATTCGAGCACTGTCTGTAGGTATTATTTTATGGTAAGTAGCATACTACACCAACAAAGTAGACCACATTTCCAATATTAAACAATTAATTGAGAAGCATTTTCAATTTGAGAAAGACTTATATATGTTGTTTGTGGATTGTAAACATATATATGACTCAGTCAATAGAAAAGGGCTATGGAATGTAACCTTTGCGATATCAGCTAAAATAGTGAAAATGATCAAACTATGTATGAATAAAACGAGATGTTAAGTTAAAGTCAACCAACATATGTCAGATGGATTTGAATTTAAGACTGAACTCCGACAGGGAGATGAATTATCTTAAGTACTTTTTAATATAGCACTAGAAACAATAGTCGAAAAAACTAAGAAGAATTATGTTAGATTAACTTGGAAGACAACAAAAGACAATTCGAAATACTAGCGTATGCAGATAATATTATCATATTAAGATCAAATAGAGTCAAATAGGCAAGAAGTAAAAACGGGTACCATAGGGCTCATAACAAATAATAGGTAAGACATAGGATTACAATTCAATGAATTAAAGACTAAATGTATGGTAATATCAAGAAGAGAAAATCATGGAAAACATTTAAAAGTTGAGAATTTTAAATTTGAAGGAGTACATAGTTTTAAATATCTAGGTTTTACAATAAATAGCAAAAATAATAATCACGAAGAAATTAAATTAGAACTACTACAGAAAATAAAAGCTATTATGGATTAACAAGCGTACTTAAATCAAAACAAGTATCGATAAAATCAAAAATTACACTGTACAAGGTAGTTAATAGACCAGTTATTTTGTATACGTTTAAAATATAACCAACAACCAAAGAAGATAAAGACGAAATAGCAATTTTTGAAAGAAAAATATTAAGAATATATAGACCAAAAAGAAATAATATTATACAACAATATGAAATAAGAATTAACATAAAATTACAACAGTTATACCGTAGTCGCCGCTTAATGGACTCACTTTGGGACCCGACAATTTGAGTCAATTAACCGAATGAGCCAATAAGGCGAATGACTCAAAAAAATTTTAAAAATACTTAAATTTAAAAACTTAAAAATATGTATTGAGATTCAAGGTATGTATAAAAATAAAAATCTAGCTATACGCAATTGAAAATAAAATAAAATTAATAAATAAAATATTTTGATAAAAATCCATCTAATGTTGATTGGATTTTCCTTCTTCAGCCAACTACATAATCATATCTTCATAAAATTTGTTTCTCGAATACGTCAAAATCGCCTATTTGCTGAATCCCTCTACGTAAAATTTGAAGCGCTTCTAGCATTTGTTTAGTTGATGGTGGTTTCTCATCATGTTCCTCTTCGTCGCGATCACCAGCCACATTCTATTTAAGCCGCTTTGACTGTATTTCACCTCATATATCTTCCTCGGTAACGAATTCGGTAGTTTGGACTTCTTCGTCAATATTTATCCGTTCATTATAAAGTTAAATTGATAGATCAATGGGTCTTTCGACAAGAGCTTCAACTTCTTTTGGATTGAGAATGAAACCACCTTGTCGGAAACAATTACGTATTGTGATTTTACTGACGATATTCCACGCTTCGTAGGCTAAATGCAAACCTTCAAGTACAGTTATTTTTTGGCGATTTCATGAGCATGTAAGGTACATAATTCTTGTCCCAGGTTACCATTAATCACACTGATCACATTCTTTCTCGTGCCTGTTCTGTAATAATAATCTGTAATAATAATCCCTTGATCGCACGGTTGTATGATTGATGTAGTGTTAGAGGGTCAAAATACGAGATTAATATGTTTGAATTTCACTGTAACCACATGAGCCGTGCAGTTATCGACTAGCAATAAAACGTCATGACAAAGTTCATTGTCTCACTTGGTTAGCCATTCGGTGAAAATTTCTTTTGTCATTCATGCATTACTGTTTCCAGTATAGCCTACCGGTAGATTTTTAACACCCTTGAAACACCGAGGATTTTTACTTTTACCAATTGCAAGCAGTTTTCTTTTATCACCATCCATACTTGCACAACATAATATGGTTATTATAATATTATTATAATATGGTTAGACAATCTTTACTAGTTTTAGTTCCTCTAGTTTTTTCATTTTTAAACACGTAAGTGTGCTCAGGTAATGCCCTGAAATAAAGTCCAGTTTCATTCACATTGAACACACAAGACGAAGGATATTTGGCGATAAGAGATGGCCATTCTGAATTAATTCACGACCGTGCAGCTACTTGGTCTGCATCTCCCTGTTTTCCATGTGGCTTAACGAATGAAATGTTTTCGCGTTTCTTCGATCGGTGAAACCAACCTTCTGTTGCCACAAAATCATCTTTACCCATTTTTTTCGCAAGATCTTCGGCTTTTTGGCGCAACAGTGGTCCTATAACTCGGGCATATTTTTCTCTGACTTTTGTGAACCATTGTTTCATTTTCGATTTCTTGTCGACATTTCAGCATCCTACCTAGTAAACTTTGAGACACTTTTAACTTACATGCTGCTTGTCGCTGGCTCATTTTCGGAAGCTCGTCATATTTTTTAAGAACATCTAATTTTTCTTCCACGCTCAAATCACGTCGTTTGTTTATTGTAACACGAAAAATAAAAATTTTTACATAGAATATAAACGCAGACAACACACCGAACACGACGACGTCTATTCATACACTACCTGTCGCACTAATTGACATTGACGACTGATTGATTTATCGTGAAAAAGGTAATTTATTTTATCTCCACGATAAAAGGTACCGACTTATTTATAACACGTTTGTTCAATGTATGTACATATTTTCTTTATTTATCTAATTTTCAAATGACCCTATTAACCGGTGTGTGAGTCGAATAGACGAATTTTTTGCCGTGTGTTAATATATGTGCAAAATCGGGACCAGCCGTTTTGAGTCTAATAGGCGAATGAGTCAATTAACCCCGAGTCCAATAAACGGCGACCACTATATAAAGAACCGATCATAGTACCTAACAGTATTACATTATAGAAGAATGGCCATGTATGTATCAAATAGTCTAATGAAAGCAGTATTAAAATGGAAACCCCTTGGAAAAAGACCACTAGGCAGGCCAAAACAAAGATGGATAGACAAAGTAAAAAAGATTTTAGGAGAAATTGAATACAAGACGGTAGCAAAGAATAGAAATAGATGGAAGCTGATTTGTATTGCGGTAATGGGCCTCAATAGTCTTTCAAAACCGAATAAGAAAATCTTCTTGGATATACACCAGTAGTATGTCAAAATAATACAGTAATAAATAACACAATAATAAAAACAAATGAATGACATCAGAACATACAATTATAACTGTTGAAATTCATAAAAATATATTATAAAACACTTATTAGTTTGCTTATATCCTCAATACATCTAAAAGACTCATCCATAAACTCTTTCAGATATATTTGAGAACCTTCGCAAGAAACCCGAAATATTTACTTATTTTTACTTTTTTTTTATAAATAAGAATGTTAAAAGCTTCACCTACCTTATTAAGAAATTTGGTTATACAACTACATGAACTATCTTTAAAAATATAAACTGATTTACCAGACCTTTTTCACTTAGAATATTTTCTTTCGAGACTAATGATACATTACATATTATACGGTTTCAAATTTAAAAGACCAATATACCAATATCATTTACCTATCCTTGTATCTCACTCGACCTTGGATTTCCCCAAGTGTTTCCTTTTAACTTGTTTTTATTAGACGTGCTTAGTCTAAGTCAGTAGTTCTCAACCTTTTTATTTTTGCGGAACACCTAGAATCTAGATTTAAGTAGGACTACGAACCACTTTGGGTTTTGATTCAAAAAATAAAAAATTTATGCTTTATTTTTTTAGTTTTGTCTGCTGATTAGTGTATTAAATTTAATAAAAATTTAAAATCATATATAAATAAAATATATCAAAAAATAAAAATAAATATAAAATGAGTAAAAATTTAAAATTAAAAAACAATATTTAATGAGAGCGTTGTACTTATTTTGTCTTGACTATTTTATCGAATCTTGGTTCCACTGTATTAATCAAAGCTACCCGTAGACTATGTAGGGTATCGAGCCTATTTCTAGTTTTGGTTTTTATGTGGGTCATTCCGGAAAATCTAGCTTCACACAAATATGTCCAAGAAAATGGAAGAATTTTCATTGCTTTTTCGAAAAGCACGTAATACTTGACCTTGAGTTTAATCCAAAATTTAGTTACAGACATAGTTTTAAATTTAAATTGTAGACCAGCATCTGATGATAACTAGCAAAAGTTCTTGTTCTTTTAAGCACAATTTATGTTGAGAGTTGGTAATACGAAATTGTTGCGATAGTATGACGAGTATATGGTACTGATAAATATTTCTTAATATCCACACTACACTAAAAATAGATTAGATAACAGTACAGACCGGCATATTTTTTATCGCAAACCGGCAGTTGTGAACCACTGGTCTAAGCATGGACGCCGGCTACTGAGGTGCTGTGGTGCTCAAGCACTCCACGAAATAAAAAAATAACAATATGAAATTACGTAATATTATTTCCACGATCACACGATATAAAATAAAGTATTTTTGGAGGTTTTAATATTAACCTATTACGTGTGGCCGCGTGGGCTAAAAATACATATCGATATTGTTTGAAATTCCCGTATTAGTATCCGAAAAATGCGTATCTAATGGACTGAACCAATGTTATCTATTTTCTAAGATTTCGTGATTCAGTATTTCTATAATAGTCGTAACTGATAATTTGTATCAATTAACCATCGACCATTCGATATCGAAGCACTTTGCAGTGATTATAATTTATAATAGCATAGTTTTGTGTATTCTTAACATTTAAAATGGATAAGAGGTTAATAAAAAAATCGATTAAAACCACAGAACAGTCTACTAACGCGAATAACAGATCTAACTCTTTGAATATTGAATCGAAAAGTGAAATTTCTCAAAAAAAAAGGGTGTTTCAAGAAAAATGGTTACAATTATATCCATGGTTATTATATGATCGCGTGAAAGAAAAATAATTTTGTTCAATATATTCAAGTGCTGTTGAAAATAAAGTTGATCTTCCTGCATCTTCTGTGTCTAATCAAAATTCTAAAAACGCATTTCTAGTTGAAGGATTTTCTGCGTGGAATAAAGCTTTGGAACGATTCAAATGCCATGAAGGTAAATATTTAAATAACATTATTTAGCTATTCCAGAGGAGAAATCGATTTTTATCTATTTTTGTCTTAATTTATCTTTGTAGTCAGTTATTTCTTTCATTTACACTTTTCTGCCTCCCAAAAACATTTTAAATACACAATTGTTATAGAAAATCGTAGATATGATATTTTAAATTATTATATAAATAAATATTAAGATAAAATTAGCCCAAGTTGGATTAACTGCAGAGTTGGGTCCCCAACTGCAGTGTACTGCACAAATTCATAATATGAAATATTTATCGCATTATAACAATTCGAATGTATGTATTTGTAGGTAGTAATTTCCATCGAGCTTCAGTTTTATCTACGGCAACACAAAAAAAAGGATTTAACATATGTGCATCTATGAGTATTTCTAAGACTAAAGAAATGAATGACGTCCGGTCCGCTCTTTTAAAAATTATTTCATCTCTTCTTTATTTGACGAGGCAAGGTTTAGCAGTGCGTGGTCATGGTGACATAAACTCAAATATTCAACAATTACTCAGTTTACGTTCTAATGATGTTCCGGAATTAAAAAGTTGGTTATTAAGAACTAAGTATAAATGGTTATCTCATGATATTCATCATGAAATACTATCTCTTTTATCCCACAAAGTTCAATTAAATATTGTTTCTGAAATAAAAAACACATTCTGATACTCGATAATATTAGATGAAACAAGAGATATTTCAAATATAGAACAAGTTTCTGTGTGTATTCGCATAGTAGAGAAACATTTAAATATAGCAGAACATTTTTTAGGATTTTTCGAAACTCCTTTTACTGACGCTAAAACATTATTTAATTTGGTAATGAACACTTTAAATAGATTTGACATAAATATATCTAAATGCCGCGGACAATGTTATGATGGAGCAGCTAATGTCAGTGGACATATTAGTGGTTTATAAAAACGAATAATCGCTGTCGAATCTAAAGCAACTTTTGTTCATTGTACAGCCCATACATTAAATCTTGTAGTGCAAGATGCAATGCAGAATATTGATAAAATTCGAGACTTTTTATCTACTTTACGTTCATTGATAGCATTCGTAAAAGATTCACCAAAAAGACAGGCCATATTTAACTCTTCAAGCTGAACAAAGTACAAACGGTCTTTCAAATAATGTTTCATTGCGACCTTTTTGTCCCACCAGATGGTGTGTTAGAATTGTTTCATTAAAGACTATTCATTCTAATTATAATATACTTCACACATTCCTTAATCAACTAGCCACGGAAAAAAATGAAATAGGTGCTAAGGCTATTGGTTTTTCGAAACAACTTTATAAATTTGATTTTTATTTTTTGATACATATGATGATATTTATTTTCGAGAGAATAGAAATTTTGAATTCGGAACTTCAAAAAAAGTCATTGCATTTCCAAGATGCAATATTAAAAATACAAGCTATAATTTCTATAGAAGAAAAACGAAAAACTGGGTTTGACCAACTGTGGGAAAATATTAATAATTGATCAAAGGGTTTAGGTGAAGTGAAGCTCCCTAAAAAAAGAAAAATTCCAAAACGTTTTATTGAAGGGAAACAGGGACATTATTTTAAGTCAGCTAAAGACCATTATAGGGCACTATTTTTTGAAGTGATTGATACCGCACTATCTGCTCTGTATACTAGATTTCAAAACAACGTTATTGAACATCTTGCAAATGTTGAAAAATGTATTGTTAACTCCAAAAAAATTAATACATCAATTATAACTGACTATTATGGCTCAGACTTTGATGAGACAAAGTTAGAGTTACATCGTAATATTATGTTGGATATTGCAAAGTCGAAAGGATTTAATATATCATCAGTATCAAATGTCATCGATTTTTCTAAAGAAGAATTTTATTTACAAGATTTGGTACCGGAATTGATAAAATTAATTAAAATTATATTAACCGTACCAGTTTCTTCATGTACAGCAGAACGTTCTTTTTCTGCTCTTCGGCGTTTAAAAACATTTCTACAATCAACAATGGCTCAACACGACTTAACGATATAGGGGTATCACATGTACATAAGGAAGAACAAATGAACATTGACGATGTTGCCAATAAGTTTATTAAAGACCAAAGTAAGGCAAAATACATTTGCAATTTGTTGAAAATGTAGGAATATAAACCTACTGTATAACTTTTTATTTTAACATTTTAAAATCTGTATACAGAAGCACAGAATGTTATTTTTAATTTATTTAAAAATTAAATTAATTTTAACCTATATAAGTTAAAATGCACTTAAATTATTTACCAAAAGAATAAATAAATGTTTTGATGAAAATATTTTAGTTTTATTTTGCTTGCGAGTCTTCATTATTTTAAGAAATAAGGCGAAAACGTATTAATAATTTTTCCAACTTTTACCTTCGGGCATATATTTTGGGGATAAGAAAAAAAAACCTTATAGTTAACCATAATGCTATTTATTTGTCAAAAAAAAATTTAACCTGGTACCTACAACTTTGGATTTTGAGCAACCCATGGAACTTGGAAAACCCGGCGCCCATGGGTCTAAGCTATCCACAGCATCTAGAAAGGTTTAAAATTGTTTGGCTTTTTTAATGTAATGAAGGAATCATATTATATGTGATTGACGTACGATTCAGAGTAATGCTAGACAATCATTATATTATCTACTTACAATCGCAATATATCGTATTACATACGATACCTATTCTTCGTGAATCAATTGTGATTATTATACGCTCTTTAGTTCAAAATTTTCAAATAATCTTAAAAGCATACGGCGCATAACATTTATTTATAATATAATATATATATATATATATATATATTCTAGGTTCAAACCCCCCCCAGGGCCAAAAAAAAAAAAAAAAAATTGTTTTATTATTGATGACGTGTAATATATTAGTAGTTTCATTATTACGCTTTGAACTTAAAATATACAACTATACAAATATTATGATAGTTAAATAATTATATTGATAGGTGTTTCAAAAGTTTTGTTAACTATGATATTTTTATATTCCAATAACTATTAATTTATTGTAATGGAAAAGTAAACTGTAAATTGGTAAAAAAGTTGTATAAAATAATATCTATTTATAGCAGTTATTTATTTTATTTATCTGTGCAACGAAAAAAAAATATAATAATAATTTTTGTTAAACCCCCTCCCCCTAGAGCAAGATTGAATATACGTCACTGCTCATATGTAATGACTTGGTGATGTAAAGGTCGATGTGGCGACGTCAATTACACATCCTTTAACGCCTTACTCCACCACCGTTTCGCAAAATTCGGATATTCATCACGGTGCGCATGTATTGATAGTAGAATAATACGCTGAGAGTTGCTTCCGGATTTATGCGATATCGTGCAGTACTATCCAATGGTGAACTTTCAACAGTAAGACTTAGCGTTATATAATATACTGCACACACACGCACACATACACTGTACAATAACGTTATTATAATACTTACGAACGGAAAGCATTTTGTCTCCCAAAGATTTCACGGTCGAGCGTGTTATGCGTTTCCAATCGAACTCAGAGTTTGATCGCATCATTTCGTATATTATTATATATAACATGCATAGTGTTGTTGTAGGTACGCGGTGCGAGTAACAAAACACCGCGAACACAATAAGAATACGTAAAGTTGTCCGTATCGTTACAGAAGTGCCGGATGCGTTCGTTGTATTATTGAACTGTAAAATGTTACATTGTGATGAAATATTATGCATCAATCGGGGATATTCGTTATATATATTTTAACGGTGCAGAAATGTCAACGAACTGAGTTTGCGACCGATCCAAGTAAATATAATGCATTACATACATAATTTGTAGAGCGAATTGACGAGAATTAATGTTCATCATTTTTGTTCAAATTTTAATAAAATGAAAAAAAAATTTTCCTCTCATACGTCTTTAAGCCCCATTGAGTTAAGAAATGTAACATTTCTCTCTTAACATACTTTATATCTAGAACCAGTCGATTACATTGTTCGCCCTTCCTTATGGATCATGGAAGTGTAGTGACCTCCCTTCATTTCCATGTAAACGGAAGAGTGGCAATGCATCGATCAACCCTTTCAGGTTGCTTGCACTTTCTGCTGAAGAGTTCGGGGACTTTCCTCAGGTCAATTTGGTGGACAATCGGTAACCGCTTGGTTACCGCGCCATGAGTGTAGACCCGAAAGTAAGAAGACGAACGTGAGATAATAATATGAGGTTAATTTTCTGTATATATACAGAGCAGTACAAGGACAATAATCACACGTGAGAGCCGATGTATGAATATGCTCATACATGCCATCTAGCGGCGATTTTATCAAACAACGAAAAATTGAATAATATAAATCCACATTCGTGAAAATAAGATTTCTTAATCAGCCATCTACCCATCAATAGTATATTATGCTTAAAAATTCAATATAATATTAAATTAAAAGGAAACATGATTTTTTTTTTATTATATAATCAATTCAGACATGCAAATATTTATAAATGACTATGAAGTTCTAACAAATAATTATAATGAAATATCGAATTTACAAATATTTTCTTTACTCATATAGATCTCAGCTTTCTTATTTTCACTTTTATCCAACTATAAAACCAAACACTAAGATCACTTATTGTTCTTGATATTAATCTGTTATAACATATACTTATTGCGTGTGTACTATATATAGCTGATAGATTTATTTAAATAAAATATAAAATTTCATAAAAATTGTTATTCAATTTTTTTATTTAACAATTCATCCTCATTATAAAATATATAACTATATACTTCGTGTTGATCAAATGTTCTTATATAAAATGGTTAAAAGAAGGCAATACAATTAAAACTAAATAAACATTTTGATTAAACCATTCATCAACCTAAAATAATCCAATTTCAATAAAATGTTTAGCAGTATTTCATATAAGTTTATTATTATTGCTTCAAATTTTTTTTAGGTTTTCTAAAATGTATAATTAATTGGTATACTTATGCATTCTTCTTTAAAATTCAATCCAAATTATTTATAAACATTTGAACAAGTTTAAAAAAAAATTTAATCAAATAATTAATTATTATTAAATTTAAACTTAGAACTATGGGACTAGTGCATATATCTAGATATCACCCACTTAATCCTTGTGCCTTTTTAAATTTGTTTTTGTAAAGAGTTTTCAGTATTATCTTATGTAATAATAAATAAATCCACTTTTTCTATGATAATTTCACAAAATAATCCTTACCTAAACTGAAAATATAATAATTAAATATTTAATTAATTACCTCAGTAATTTACTATTATAAGGATCAATAATAAAAAAATTAATATTAGATTTATAATACACTTAAACCAGTTTAAATTAAATAAATAATTATACAAAAAATAGCATTGTTAAATATATTTTATCTTAAACCATATAAATATTTAGATATATGATCTAAGAATAAACAGAAAACACTACAATGATTAAACAACCATGTGATAGGATATAGAAAATACTGCTAAGCCCTATTACCAATTTTGTCAGACCCATGTAATCCACTCTATATTTTTATTACGAATTGTTTTTAAAATACAAACATAGTATTAAACAACTTAAAAACAAAAATGTATACCAAGTTAACATAAACTTAAATGTATACTTAATTAAAACATAAAATAAAATTGAAACTAAATTAATAATAATAATATTTATTGAATATAAAATAGTAAATACTATTTTGTCTTTATTTATGTTATTTGATATTCTGTAATTAATTTGTATTATTTTACAATTCTAACAATACTATGTATGATTTAACTGTATTACATTTTAGAACAGAATTACTTTTTGTAGTTTTGTTTACTTTATCTCCTTGGTTATTACTCATTATTAAATCAAGTAAATTTAAATCTATGCTAATGAATTTAATATTAAAATTGACAAATTCAAGTTAAGATTGTAACACTAAATATTCCATTGATATATGATACTCATCACAGTCAAATACATAAGAAATTAAAATATTAATTTATTATTTGCCAGTTATCTAAGATATTTGTAAAAATATTTTTAATGTCATCATATTTTATTCTTTTAGGGAATATAATTATATAAAATTAAAATAATAATGAATGAAATAAAAAAAAAATAATAAATAATAATTACACAATTTATACAAAAATTACAAGATTTGATTAAATATATTAAATAAATACTTAAATATTTATCAATATAAATTGAGTTTGTTCTTGTACTAACATAAACCAAAAAATGATATATTAAACTAAAATTGAGAAACATTATTTTCTTTCAGCTCTAAAACAATGAGGAAAAATGTATGTCTCTTTAGTTTAAGAAATCCTTGTATAATTTACCGAAGAGATTTGGTTAGTTGAAATATTTTAGGCTATGACTAATAAATAAAAATGTACACAAATATACACATACATATATAAAAAAATACTTGATGGTCTATTTTGATAGTCTTTTAAGTTAATTACAGCCGAAGATATTCTTCTAACTATAATACAAGACTATTAATCAAAAGTACATGGTATCTTAATAAACAAAACATTATATATGAATATGATAAATAATCAAGAAAGCTGTATTAATGACAACTACTTTCCAAGAGAGAATTCTGCAAATATAATTAAATTTATTAAAAACTTAAAACCAAAAAACTTAAAATTATATAATTACCCTGTGAACATTACAAGTAGTCATAAAATTCTGGGTATCAAGAAGCCAACCAACATGTATAGCACAACTATAATGTATACTAGATTTGCAATGACGAGCAGTGCATCCAATACTTGCTCCATTAGCACCACAATAAACACAAACCTATAAAAAAAAATCATACTATGCCCTGTACTTAAGATAAAAAAAAAATACTTACAGTATTTTTAGCAATTCTCACACTATCTTCTAATCCAAAAATCTTAGCTCCTACCATGTAAATACCAGATGCCCAAATTAAACAATTTTCATGAGTCCAAATTTCAATAAATGTTTCTGATGTATCATTATCACTTAAATTATGCTTAGACTTCTATAAATAACATTAAAATATTTAAAATAAAAATTTAAAAATGTGAGCACAATTAACTTAAAAATACCTTTCGTTTAGGGTTATCATTAGTTTTGATAACTTTTGGTATACTGACATAATAAGGACCAAAAAGATCTCCAGTAGGATCATAGCCAATGTCTCTGACATGAGGTCCTCGAGAACAGAATACACATTGCCAATCACTACTTTCTAAATTGCTTACGTCAGGTTTTTCTTCACCATTGCAAACACCAGATTTATATGCTTTTAAACAAGGCAAAATATTAAATTGATTATCCGCCTAATTTTATAATTTAAACTTACAATAAGTCTTTCGATTAATATTACGACCATCTAATGAGTCCTCATCATCTTGAACTTTTCGGTTAATAATAACAAAACTTGTAGGATTTTCTATGTTACCACCATTTACTCTAATCACTGGACCTTTGTATTTTTTAGTTGCTGGTTCAACTGGAGGTTTTGGTTTTTCAGTTACAGGTGGAATCTTTTTAACTTTTTTTATTTGTTTCTTACTTTTGGTGTAAGGTCGTTTTGTAGGAATTATTGGTTTAGGTTTATTTTCTAAAACTACTTGTTGATCAGTTGTACTATTAGATGTAATAACCCCGCCAAATAACTCTTCTAATTTATTTTCCACTTCAAGGAATTGCGAATGTGTATCATGAACTTTTTTTGAAGAACCTTCAATTGATAAAGAATCCTCAGATTTGTCATGTTCAATTCTAGGTATAGGAGATGGTGATTTAAGTATTTTTTCAACAGACTCAGCCCTCATTGTTGATGGAGATGGAGACTTTTCTTGTTTAATAGTTTTAATAACAGACAATTTTTCAGACTCATTTATTTGAAATATGTTTTCCAACATTTTTTCAACATTATTTGTATCTGCTATTTCAATTTTTACTGGGTTATCAACTACATCCCTAGCAGACTTATCATCTGATTTATTACATTTTTTTTCATGATCTTCTAATCTAGTAATTTTTACTATTTGAGAACCAAACAATTCTGGGTAATTAGCTAAACTTCTGGTTTTAATCTCAGATTTGATTAATTTAAGAGAATTTGATGCTATAACACTAATAGCTTTATCTTCAATAATTCCTATTTTAGATGAAATTAATTGACCATTGACTTGATCTTTTGTTCGTTTTAAAGAAGTATTAGAAGATAAGTCAATAGACATTTGATCAGATTCTTTTTTATGTTTAGTAAGATCAAGCTCAACAGTCCGAGTCAATGAAAAACTAGGTGATACATTAGTTGAATGAGCTGGAGATGGTGATGGTGGACCTGGTCTAGATGGTGGTGGCATATTATTTCTAGAGTCCATCCACCTATCAATTATAGGAGTATGCTGTGATTTATGCATCTGCAATGCTGCAACATTGTGCAAAGAAGCATATGGTGGGTTTCTGTAAGCAGCCATATCTATAATTGAATAATAATACTTAATACTTGTTAACAAATTATTCTTTATCGATCATTTACCTTGTTTAGTAAACCATGTTGATAGCTGATGAGAAATTGGTGGTGGATGATGGAATGTAGTAAGTGGATGAGGAACAGAAGGTGTTGCAGCAGTTGCTAAATGATGTCTTTGTGGTGCTGGGGCCGCTGGAGGTAAATGATGATAAGATGGAAATCTTCCCTCAGACATTTTGTTAAAATGTTTATATCCTATATTTGATTAAATAGAAAAAAAATTCTATGAAAGGCAATTTATTGGACAATTATTTGATTTGAACATTTTGAGTAATCTTTAATAATTCGTGTTATCATAATGCAAATATTGCCCTAGGAAAATGTAAACATATAAGTAAGGTTATTTGATTTAAAATTCAGTAAACTTTAATATATTTCATTTTATTTAATATTTTAACAATTAAATTATAGAATATTTTCACTAGTCATCATTAACTAGGAATAAGTCTCGATTTAATAAAAATGAATGAAATAAATAAATACACACTTTTACCAGAGTTGAAATGTATCAGATGATATTAATCGACTGTTGTAATTATCATAAGACACATATTTAAACGCGTACGTGTTAAAAGGTATAGTTCAAGTTAAAATTTGTAAATTGCTTCAACTATTCAATAAACAATAAGAACATAAATTCGACTGAAACAATTAGAAAACTTAAACATTTTTTCTCGTATATCAATAAATCATTTTTGTAAAAAAAAACTCATCATTAACCATTATTGTTATGGTTCTTCGTCCTTTACTTCTCTCTTGCACACACTGACGCACGGTATACTCTCTCTCACTATGGATATTACAGTGTCTTTGGAACCAATGTAACTGTCACGGACGTTGGATAAATACTATAAATTTTATAAAGCTATTAAGTTGGGCGCTAATAATTTTTGATATGTAACATTGTGTTTTAAAATATAAACAATATAGTTTATTTGTTTTTTAATCAACCAAAATATAGTAGAATCGATTTATTCAACAGGCAACAATAATATGTGTTTAAAAATATGATAAACAACTATAAACAATATCCTTTTGGGACGCCAAAACGCTTATTATTAATAATTATATACAGTAGCGGCTAGTTGTAAATATTCTGAGGAAACTTAAATTATTTAACTACAACTCTATACAACTACGAACAAGAAAAACCCTTTTATTAGAAAATGAATGAATACTTAATTTAATATTTAGTTAATATTTTTAACTTTATTTAATATTAAATTTTTTTTAACACTAATTAAATTCTGCTCTTTTTTATCTGCAAATTAGTGGAGTATAAAAACTAACATTAAGGCCCAGCGCACATTGAGACGCAGGCGACGCAGCGCAGTGCAGGAAAAACTGCGCTACCTAAGTGAGCGCATATTAATACGCAGTTCAGACGTTTCACCGACAGTTGTTGTTCACAGTTATCAGCATGAGCGATAGTATGATGACCGAAAATTTAATAAATTTAAGTTCTGAATCAGATTCCGATGACAAATTTGATGAATTAATTTTGTTGTATTCGTAAAGTAAAGAAAAAAAAACATGGAAAAGTAATTTTATGAAGAGAAGACAAAGTCACAGTGTATTCAATTTGTCTAGTGCAGCGGTTCTCAAACTGTGGTTACTACTAATGGTACGCGAAAGACTACATGGTGCTACGCGAAAGGCCGCATGGTGGTAGAACGGAAATTAAAAATTTAATGTTTAACTCATATATTAATTTAAAAACACTAATAAATTTGTAATAATAAATAAATACTAATTTTATTTTAGTATTTAACTGCCTTTTTATTTAAAATAAATATATTTAACTACTATGTGAAGTTTGTATGGTTTTATTTTTAATAATTAATTGTACGTGACTGATTGATAATATACTTATGTGGTACGCAAAAAAAAAAAGTTTGAGAACCGCTGGTCTAGTGTCATATAATACATTGTAATATCTGACGGCTTCTATTAGAGTTTCTTCCATCGTAATTATTAAAAAAGCTTGACTTAATTAACAAGTTTAGTTTAGTTTAGTTTAAAATTATGTAATATCGTAATTTCCAAAACTGCACGACACGTGTGCAGTAATCTGTGTCGCGGACACTGCGTGACGCAGGTCAACACAGCACAGTACTGCTCTGTCCTGCCCTGCCTCCCAATATGCGCTAGTACGTTCTACCTAATAGATTACACAAAACTACGCTGCGCTGCCCTGCGTCGCTTGCGTCTCAATGTGCATCGGGCCTAACACGTTTGGTCTGTTTATTACAATTACGAGTCATTTTAATATCAACATTTACAATAGAAGCTAATTTAGAAATATTTTTCATTATTTTTTTAAAGAGTTTTTAACGGCTTTTCGAATATTTTGTAAGGTATTTTTTTACTTGTATTGCGTTAACTAAAGCATTACATACAACTTATTGTTTATTTTTTAAAATTTTGCTCAAATTATAAGTATAAAAAAGGAACTTCAATATTTATAACTCGTTATCGCAAGACAATGTATAAGCTATTTTTATTTTCGTTTGAAATTAACAAAATTTGTTATGTAAGATAATATAATACGAGCAGATATTATTGTATTCAAATGTACTACACTGATCATGGAAGGGGGCTTCTCGGGCCATCCCTAAATATGTCACTGCTGCGAACTCGTAAATAAACTCAGATGACGGCGTACATCGACTAACGACGACGCACTGGCACGGAAATTATTGTCCTGAACCTAGTTTCAATAACGTCTATAATACACAGCCAGTGCTCGAATTGGGAAAAATTAAGTGGAGGAGCCAGGGCCGGATTAAGGTTTTTGCCGCCCATAGGCTGGAATAAATTTACCGCCTAATTTTCATAGGTATTGATATTTTACTTCTGTAAGTGGTACGTAAAAACTCTCCACACCCCATATAAAAAATGATCATTAATAAAATAAAAACATAAAATCAATACTATTATTATTTATTAATGAATGAAAACTCTTTAAGCATATTACAAATAATTATTTTTCATATTCTTCAGATTATAGTCTTACGTCTTGATTTTTTTTTCACAAAGTCTTCTATGATGTCGTCATATGATAACTGATTAGTTAATTCATGTTCAATACTTAGTATAGCAAGTACATTTAATCGATCCTATGACATCGTTGATCGGAGATAATTTTTTATTCTTTTCAAGCAAGAAAAAGAACGTTCAGCTGAACAGTTAGTCACCGCAGTAGATGTATATATTCTGAGTGCTATTTCGATGTTGGGATATATTGAAATTAAGTTTTTTTCATGTAAAATTTGAAGAAGTTTGGGAACATTGTTTTGCTTATCGTCATCCAGTTGTATTATGTGTGCTTTTAAATGTAAACATTCATTGATTAATTCATTTAAATCTATATCATCATAGTATATTTCATTAAGTTGTGTAGCTCCTTTAACAATATCATCATGTGATAGACGTTCGAGCATGACAATAAAAGCAAATGGAAAAAAAAAATTTTGATACGCAGCTCTTCTCTTGTTAAGTTCATTCAATAAATGATCTAAAATTACTAAAAAGGTATCAATTTTAAATTTTTCTCTTCCAGAAGTAATTAAATCATTATGTCGAGTTTCATCATAAAAAATTGATTTAATTTTTTTACGAGTTTTTAAATCTTTTTTTTATTTTTTATTTTTTAATGAGATTTTAACATTACATTATGATATCTCGACAGTTATGTTCATGAATTCGAAATAAATTAAGGTTGGTAAAGCTCACACTCTTAAATTCGGAGACCTGATTGCAGGATAAAATTTAGCGTATGTTTAATTATATTGGTATTGTCGGTTGAAAGAGCATCAATAAGGGAAAAATTAATACCAGAGATGAAAAAGAGAATCTTTAGTTGAGATCTTTGGATAGATAGAGATGGACAGTTAATGAGTAGGTGATGGAAATCACAGTATTCTCCACCACAGTTGGGTAGAGGACAACACGCACTACTGTTGAGTCCCAATTTAAATGAGTGGTGTGGTAATAGGCTATGGCCCGTGCGTAATCTAGTGAATTTAGCTATGGCTGCACGGCTCATCTTTAGGGAACGAAACCATGGTCGATTAGGGATGTTTTTAAATAATGACCTATAACCAAAAGCATAGGATTCTAGTAAGGAATCCCATTCCAGCTTCCATTGTTCATTTATAACTTTTCGATGTAAAGAGACTAAATCCGTATAGGGACACCACAGTGGACCCGAGTAAGAGTGGTTGGCGGTTGAGCCAGCTAACGAATCAACGTATTCGTTACCATTTATGCCTATATACCCTGGAGTCCATAGGAAGCAGATGGAGAATGACCTGATTTTAAGGGATAGTAGTAATGCGCGGATTTTTAGAATTATGGGGGAGCACTTCGAAAGGAAGGGGTTACTAACGATTGCTAAAATACTAGCTTGAGAATCAGAGACAATAAGAAAATCTCCGCAGGGGAGAGAACTTATGCATGTGAGAGCTTCTAGGATAGCCCAGCATTCAGCCGTGAATGAAGAGACGAAAGCAGAAAGGTTGGAGGAAGACTGTATATGTAATTCTGGGAAAAAGTAAGCAAACGCCGCACCTGATTGTGTAACTGACCCATCCGTGAATACCAAGGTAAACGAATTAATGTTATCGGCAATAAACTGTCTAAATAGGTTATTAATTATGCATGGAGGCATAAGTCGTAAATCATTAGGGGTGTGGCCCAGAAAGTTGGGTGACACCATCACGTATGAGGTGAGAGTTAATGCATTAAAGTTTATGTCATATAAAGGTTGTTTGTGAACTTTGTAAACATGGGGAAAAACCGTTGAGAACGCTTGAATCATGGATGAAAGTAACGGTAAGAACCTTCGAACGAATCTCCATTTAATATTAATCGAGTTAAATAAATCGATTATTGGAGATTTTGATAAAGATGAGCATTTTAATATAAATTTACAAATATGCCGCATATGGAACAAAATATATTAAATTATTTATTTCTTTAACTCGTGCTTGGAGACCTGAATAACTGCCGGACATATTATTAGCGTTGTCATATGATTGTCCCCTACAGTTGGACCAATCCAAACCGTAACGTTTTATGAGATCATTGACTACATCAAATAACTCTGCAGACTTATGACCCGCTTTTGGTATAAATTCAAGAAATCGTTCAACTGGTAGACCTTGGTCATTTACATATCTCACAATAAAGGAAAGCTGATCAATGTGCGTAATGTCAGGAGTTGAATCAACTATAATGGAAAAGTATTTTCTACGTTTAATTTCATCAACAGAATATTTGTTTACTTTTTCCGCTATTGAAGAAATTACTTCTTCAAAAACAGTTGATGATAAATATGATGTTGATCCTCGACCGGCATTACCGTATTTATTAATATGTTGGGCCAAAAATGGATCGAATTCAGATATTAATTCTATTGACATAAGAAAATTTCCATTTTTCGAAGAACCAATTAACTCGTTGTCACCCCGAAAAGGGAGTCCCCGTAAGGCAAGTGATTTAACTACGGCAACAATTCGCAATAAAATATTTTTCCAATAGTTTTTTTCCCCATCAATTTGATTCATTAATCTTGAATCTACTTTTTCCTTAGTTTGATTGATGTTTTGTATTTGAATTAAACAGTTTTTATGATTTATAGAATTTTCATGTTGTTTTAACCTCGAACAAGCGTTTTTCCAGTCATTAAAACCTGTAGTAGCCAAATCAGAGTCGTCACGAAATAACCAACACGGTGCGCAAAATACAGTCCCTTTAATTTCTGAGTAAACTAACCACGTTCTAAGAATTTTTTCATTGTTTGATAATATCCTATAGAACATAGATTTAGTTAAATATCTACTTTGGTCAGAGTATATCCGTTTGGAGTTTGAAAAGTCTGAGTTCATATTTTGATCAACACCGTGTGATGCCACAAAGTGAATAAAGTCGGCTGTTCGTATCCATTGAGAAGGATCTTTACTAAAAATACTTGTTTTAGTTTTATTTTGTAACTCTATCTCTGTACTGTATTATTTTAGTAGTTTTATTAGTATTAGTATTAGTATTATTTTTTTCATTTACATTCTGTACTGTTTTAATATCCCCGGAATCTATGACACTAGAAGATATTTTTGGACTTACACTTACTGACGTAATTACTTCCTTACTAAATAATGTATTAATTTTCGGGACATTTTCTAAAGCCAATCTTTGTTTTTCCAATTTTTCCTTGGCCAATTTCCTATATTTGTCTCCACTTAACTTAGAACGTTTCATTTTTATAGTCAGGTTGATCTATAATAGTATATCATTTGATATTAAATTAGTATGTTTAATAAAAAATAATAGAATAATAATGATACAATGCACTTTCCAAATGCACTTTCAAAAACGCGAGATAATCTGTAGTTGAAAATTTTTTTACTTATGTGATAATAATCCTATTCTTGAATATCGTTTTAAAATATTCGTCCGCCACAAAAAAAAGCGTTTTTTGATTAATTTAACTGATTTTTTGTTATTGCTGCATTAATATATGAGTTGTTAAAAATTAAGGCGTCGTTCATATGACCATTTGTTTCGACATCTTTATAAATAAAACAATAATTAGCGTTAACTGCTGCTAGTAGAACAACGCTGATCGTCCTTTAATAGTAGAAATAATTTTAAGCCCCATGATGGGAATTTTGTACAGAAACATGTTTCCCATCTAAAGACCCACAGCTAAATGGGAATCGCTAAAAGATGTGTCGATAAAGAAGATGATGAATTTTGAACTTTTGGATAGTATGTAACCAACCTAATGAGAAAAATACCACTTGAAAAGGCTTTTATTTTACAAAACAATATTCAGGATTTATTGACGCGAAAAAGATTACATTGCTCATCATATTCACAAGCTCTTTCAAAATGTTCAACTCCAAGTTCAACCGCTAGAACTTTACTATGTTCTAATTCGACTTGGCTGTTTCACAACAGCTAAAGTAAAATGCTAAAATAATTAATTTTTGTACATTTATTATAATGATCATATTACAATATTAATAGTTTTTTTTTTTTCATATTTTAAGAACTTTTATATAAACTTATAAAAACTGCTGCAATGTTAACTGTAAGTGAATCTGTTAGGGTAACTGAAATATATTTCAGAGATCATCTTCATATTCCTGTTTAATAATATTTTCTGAATTATTTTCTTTTACTATGCCAATGACTAATCCATCACACCTTCGTTTTGTTACACTGTTTGTCGAGTTATGCATAGTTACATTTTCATCAATTTCAGTGAAATTTCTCTTTTTTGTCATTGATTTACGTATTACTCTTTCATCTTCTGCTGTCTTCTCACGACGAAATGGATAAACCATGGGATAAATTTGCTCGATTGCTTGATTAACATTTCCTACACTTGGAGCAGTTACTGTAATACTACCCGTAGAAAATATTTTCAATGTAGCTTTTAATTCTTTGAACTTAAAAGTAACACCAGGATGTAACTCGGGTTCATACTGAGCAATTTTTTTATACTTTTCCGAAAACTGTATGATTTTAACCGGAAAAGGCAGTGAACATGATCCAAGAACATTGACAACTCTATAACTGCTAAATGTAACATTGTGATAACCAAGTTTCTGAATTATTCTAGCAAAACGCCTAGAAGCAATTTTAGCATGTGTTTCGGATGTAGTACCTGTACAGACAATTTTTCCACTTGACCAAATAGATGCTGTAGCATTTGGTTTACGTAGTTTCATTATTAACATTGCATTTTCACGTTTATGCTCAACATTTATACCATGATGAGCTAAATATCGAAGGTCCAAATGGGACTTGACATTAAAGGTCGTTACTACATTACTTATAGAAATATTTAGTTTAGGAATATCAGTCAAACAGTCTTGAACTGGATTGTTTGGTAGAGCATTTTTATTATCAGACTGCTCATGAAACTCAGACTTGCAGATGATCATATTGGAATTAGTGTTCAATGTTGATGACGATATTGAATTATTTAAGTCTGTTTCGTTTTCTTGATGAACTATAGAAGTCATCCTTGGATAATCCTGAGTAATTAATAATAAACATTAACTAATATATATGTGACTCGAAAAAATTAAAAACTTCACTCACGGCCAAGTGTTTAATGTAATAGTTTTAAGTTAATTAACATTAACTACTGGCATTAAGGCCGGAAAATTTCTAAATTGATGATTCTACTGAATATTTTGAATATTAGTTTTAATATCTACTTGTATACTCTTGATGTACAATTTCTGTTGATATTTTAGTAACTACGACTCAATTGAGGGAATGGCATATATTTTCTCCACTTTTCTGAATTTTTTTTTTTTTTTTGCGTTCTGGAACATTAAATGTTAAATAAATTGAGAAGAAACAAATTTGAATCTAGAAACTATTATAATATAAACAATACTGTTTTAATTTTTTCATATCAGCCAATACAATTTCAAATTAATATTATTTTAATTTTAATAGACTAAGATGATTAGGTTAACACAAGAGATTAGTTATTTTTAGTTAAGGTAGGTTATTCATATGACAGGGTATGGGTTATTTGAACCGATTCCTTCACTGAATCGGCCGGATTATGTCGGTCTGGTGCTCGTATTGTGAACCACCTAATTTAGTTACGCTGAGAAGGAGAACAATGCGTTCCACATACTCATGCACAGTAAAATGTTTGACAGTAACAAGGAATGCCTCAACCTGGGTAAATTGGTCCCTTCAATGCTAGAGAACTCAATCGACTGGGCTTTGGTTGACCGCTTCATGGCAGATGTGATAGTCACAAACGAGAACGCGAAACACAAGTGACGATCTTGATGTGATTTCGACTAAAATGTAGCCAAAAAACAGTTGAGCGTTAAACGTCATAGTTTCGATCGAGTTTCGACCCGTTGTCATGCAGCGAAGTCGTTCGACTACGATCGATCAGTGTAAACCCGCCTTAATTTATCAGTTCATTGAATTTCATTTTCCACATTATAATTGAATATTAAATACCGCATATTTATATATAAAATAAATATGCGACAAGTATACTCGCGCATATGTAAATAACGCATCTCAACGAGACTCGTCGCTTATATGTACTTCAAATTATTTACATAGGCAAGATGAGCTATGACTCCAACTATAGTATATGATTTAAAGCAGGGATGGTAAATAGGAATTTTTTAACGTTTATTTATGACACAATTAAAAAAAAAACAATTTCAGCCTTGCCATAATTATTTTTATCAACACAGAATAATATAAATTAAAAATGATTATAATGTAGAAAGTTATGTAAAAATAGAAATAATGTATAAAAATATTAAATTATTATTATTGTTTGTTAGAAACCTTTTACTTCATGTAGGTTGAAAGCTTTTTTATGTACATATCTGTGATTATACATATCTGTGCATCATGATAAAGTAATTAATTTATCATGACACACATGTACTGTCGGTCGGTCGCACGCACGAACCAAGATAATAGATAATCTATCATAGTCGGTAGTTACATATAAATATGCGAGGAATCTTTATCAACTTATTATCAAATAAGTACATTGAATGTTAAAAATTATAGTATAAGAAAACCACAATAAATACGTACAATTTTAGTGTTCCTACTAATATACATTTTGTAGTTATGCACGTTCAACCAATTTCGTTCAAGTATCTGTTTATATCTACCTGTACTTTATTTAAACCACTTAAATTGTTTAATTATGATTTTCTCAATGTGTTTTCCTAATCACTTGGATATAAATAATTTTTTTTCAAAACGGCTGAAAATTGATCTCAACTCTACTGTAATAATCAAACCGTGAGTTACTACTTCAAGCATGAATAAAACCGATAATTCGCCTAAAAAAAAATCTAGCTTGTTAAGTATACTGCACTTGCGAAAAAAAAAGTCTTCAATGCCCAATATTGATACAATGAAGACATCATATCAATTAGATGGTCCTTACCGTAACATTTCTAATCCACTAAATAGAAGCACAAATGTTTCTTTATGCTGTGCCATTACTGAAACAACAAAGACTCAGTCTGATTTTCAGAATGTACAAAACTTAAATGAACCAGATGTATGTTCTTGTGCAGAATCAAATACTTCTCACAAACGGTCATTGAGTCTAGGCTTACACTCGTCTACCAATGGTGAAGATGAAGAATATAAAAATTCAGAATTAAATGAACCATTTACTCCTTTAGATAAATGTGATAAGCTACGTAAAATCTTTAGTAATGCACAACATGTTTCTGCTGATAGTATTATTGTTCCTAAAACTACAGGTATAAATACATCAGATTTAAAGGTGATTCGACCATCATCTACTACTACGTTAACAGCATCTGAATATTTAAAAAAAAGTGAAGCTAAAAATAACTCAATGGATAGTTTAGCCAGACAAGCTTTATTTGCAGTACAAGTATTACATCTTATTCCTACATCTGATGTTAAAGAAAGGTAATATATTTAGATAAATTTAAATTATTTAAAAACCATATTTGTTTCTTGATTATTTTGAATAGAAACTATTTACATGGAAGAATTGCTGGAAATTCTTTATTAGGAGCAATGGAATTAGAACGAGTGTTACATAATCGAGAAGTTCGTATATATGTCGGCACATGGAACATGAATGGCCAAGTAAAAGAATTATTTTAAAATAAATACTTTTTACAATATGTAATATTTAATAATTTTATTTTAGGCACCACCACCTGAACTAAATGAATTACTACTGCCTGATACAGTTCCTCATCTTCCAGATATTCTTGCTATTGGTACTCAAGAAAGTTATCCTGATAAATTTGAATGGGAAGTTAATATTCAAGAAACTATTGGTCCATCACATATTCTTTTTCATTCTGCATCCTTGGGCACATTACATTTAGCTATTTATATTCGAAGAGATTTAATTTGGTTTTGCTCTGGTACATTTTAAATATATTGCAATGAAGACATTTTTTTAAGTATTTATGTTTGTTTTAATTAGTAGCTGAAGAATCAAGTTTTAGCACCAGACCAGGAACAGCATTTCGAACAAAAGGTGCTGTTGCAATTTCTTTTTCTCTATTTGGTTCATCAATTTTATTTATAACATCACATCTAACAGCACACGTTGAAAAAGTTAAAGAACGTTTACAAGATGTACGTAGGATTGTTAAATCTTTAGACCTTCCTAAAATTTTACCTGTTAAACATAAAACAAAAGGTAATAGGATACTTGAAAATTTTATTTAGCCAAATTAATATTTAATTTTTATTTAGATGTTACCAATAATTTTGATTATGTATTTTGGTGTGGAGATCTAAACTTTAGATTAGCTCATTCACGACCCGAAGTTATGAAATGGGTATCACAGCATCAATTTCCTTTGGTTTCTCCTGCGCACCAAACACTTTCAGATCAACTAAATGACTGTATTTTAAGTGGTAAGTCAAATCGTGTGTAAATCTTTAATTTACTAATTAATGAACTTATTTAACATGGTCGTCGATTCGACTTGCAGACATGTGTTGTCACACATAAAATTGATAGATAAGTGTGTGTCAACTATAGTTGACATTAGCCATGAACTTTTGTTTTTAATCGTTTATACTTGTATTTTTTATTTTTTCAACTAACTTTTAATATTATACAATTACAGTAACAGTTATAAAAATAAAATAAACAAAAGAATACTAACTTTATTAACCTTGTATAATAATAAAATATTTATAAAATAATAATAAAATTGAATACATATTAAATATTTTAATAAAGTGAACTGTTCATCTTGCAAGTAAATACAATGAAACCTCTGAATAGTGGACACTCTTGGTCACCAAAATGTTGTCCGTTATTCAGAGGGGATACTTTTGAAATTTATTTATATAATAATGTAATATGTATGTATGCATAATGTTATTACTTATTATTTATTGTAAATTATTACATTTTTATATTTTTACAATCAAAATCAAAATTATGTACATACATGTATTTTTAAATTATTTTTGTTTGAAAAAATCGGTGAACTTTGTTTATAATTACACCATCACCAAAATACGTCTGCTATTGGGAAGTGTCTGTTAGTGGAGGTTTCACTATATATAACTTGTATAATCATACTGTAAACATTGAATTATAATAATATTTAAAAATAAATTAAATTTTTAGGTAGTTCATGAATTACTTTAAAAAAATTTTCAATACATAAACCGAGTTGATCTTCACATTCAGGACAGTAAAATAATGTTGTCTTCCATGTCTTTGGAATAGCATACCTTACATCTTTTTTTTCATAATTGTTTTTATTGGTTTTTTAATGTTTGTAGGAAAATGTAAATTTTTTTATTTGTGAAGGAACATTTATACTTATTTAATTTTTTTACTAAATCTGACATGATTGAAAGTCTCTTATAATAAAGTGAACATTTTTTTTTTTACTTTTTTACTGATATATAATAGGAATTTAGTAAAAATAATTGAAAATAATGAATTCCTCTTGCATGGATAGTATGATAAAGTCTGGTTCTGTCAATCAATGCTAAACATATATTTGTTGTACATAGAAATTGCAATGGGTTTCATTTTTTGTTCACCTGTTCTGTTAGTAATTTTGATTAATTAGTTTATATGCTCAGAGCTTATAACTAAAACTTTTTGTCTGTCTCACAATTTTATTACAAGTATACCTTCATTAGTGTATTTTCTAATACATTCTCCCACTTTGTTATTATTTCTTTTGAGTTTCTTTGTCTGTTTTCGCATTAAGTTCCTGTACAAAATATTCCATTATCTTGGAAGTATTTTTACTAGTTTTACACTATTTTAATAATTATCTATGTACATTGATCGGTCACTCAACTGAAGTTCTTCCATTAATTTTATGTTAACAAATTCTGTTTGATATTTCTGTCATGTTCTTGTCCAGAGTATATCATTGTTCTGTGGACTAATCCACCAGGTTATGTCAGTATATAAAGTTTTATACCATACTTGTTTCACTTATTTTTGATATATTGTCAGAAAACTAATCTCTTATGAAACAAAATTATTGACACGTCAAACACTAAATTTTTACCAGGTTCTTAAATGATTGTAATTCTATTATTAAAATATTTTACAATTGGTTCTATTCTATTAAGATGATTATTATCATGGTTATTTCTTTTTTTTACATTCTTACAAAACATGCAAAATGACATATTAAAAAAAAAAAAAAATCAAAAAATTTGGAAGGTTACTATACTAGAATTATGCCATTTATTTTATTATAATTTTTTAATCATTACTCATAAATATATTTTTCATTTTGTATTTTTAACAAAATAATTTTTTATTTAAATACTAAATTATTCAATTCATATGACATTTTTATTTTTTAAATAGTTATACTGATGAAAATAAATTTCTATTTTTATTCATTATAGTAGAGCAGACATAAGTTTGAATAAATAACTTATAAAACAGTTAAAATGCTTAACTAGCTTATCTGGTATAAACAATGAACTATTATAATATGTATTAAAAAGAAACTAAATAATAATGTCGACTAATTATAGGTTTAGTATTTCGTGGATTTCAAGAAGGCCCTTTAACTTTTGCACCATCTTATAAGTATGATCCAGGAACTGAATTGTTTGATACATCTGCTAAACAAAGAACACCATCATATACAGATAGAATTCTTTTCAAATGTGGAAAACAACAAGTTCTACCAAGTCCTACAGGTACACTTTTGATGGAAAATAAATAGAAGAGTTTTTCTTGAGTTCTTAGCCGTACTATATCTTATTATTCAGTTTCAGTTTATTTTATAGGTCTATTTAAATTGTATTGATCAGTCAATTAAAAATACTTTAATAACAATAGAAATCATAAAATATATTACTGATGTTTTGCAGGATCTTCATGTACTACATCCAGTATTGAATGTTTAACATACTGTTCAGTACCATCAGTTTGTACTTCTGATCACAAACCAGTCTGGGGTCTTTATAAATGTTCAATTCGCCCGGGTATTGATACGTAAGACCTACAAATATTTAATACATGTGTAATTATATTTTAATATAATATATAATTTGTTGATTTTAGTATGCCTTTAGCTGCTGGACAATTTAATCGTGATGTATACTTGGAAGCAATCAAAAGACGTGCAGCAAGTTTTGACAAACGTGTTGGAACCTCTGCTGTTTGTAATGTACAATAACCAAACATTTGATAAGTCTTATGATAACTAAAAAGTGATAAAGTATTTTTAAAAGGGTACTATAATGTATTTATTTTTTAATAAATATTAAGTAAAGGGGGATCAAATATTTAATCGTTGATATTAATCAAAAATAAATAACTATAAATAAGTCAAACAACATAAAAATTACGCACTAAAAGACTGCCTTTAAATGATCAGCTATATTAAATTTGCTTGTCTATGTTGCTTTTCATAATCATATTGTCTTATATTATTTTATTTTTTGAATTTTTATAGATGTTTTAAACTAAAGTAATTTTGTCTAGTCTATTTAAGTTTTAATTTCTTGTGCAATTTATATAATTACCTACCATTTTTTACAATTCTTGTCCCTAACTATTTCATTTTTACTTATTTACTTAACACCTAATTATTAATCTATTGAATTTTTTTTATCACAATTCACATACCTAATTATATTTATTGTTTTTTTTATTTTATTACTATACTTAGCACAGAATAATTCTGTTCAATTATTGTAATATGTTTCTGTTGCTGCCAAGTTAATAAATATATAATATTATTAATATACATACAATGAAAAGAGTTACTCTATTAAAGTATTGTATAGTTTATTTATTGATACTGTTAAATTCATTTTTTTTTTTATTAAAGATTATCCTTTTTAAAAGTTGTAATAATAGATTATTTATCACTAAACAGGTATTTTGACCTTTGAATTGTACTATTATTATTATTATTATTTTTACTATCTACATTAAAAATTAGACACAATTTTTATTATTCTGTGATATTTATCAAATAGCTTTAGTGTTTTGCAATGTTTTGTTTATTTATTAGTATAACTTAAAGTAATTGATATAATTATATTGAAAATTACAATCATTCATTTTTTCATTACCTTATGGACATTCTTTTCACAGGCTATCTTTTCATATGCGCTCTACTGTAGATCGCTGTCTACCTGCAATTACGGCATGCTTGTCGTTTGCGTTCTACTAGTCAATTTATATCTTTACTATTGTGATTTGATGCTAATAAAAATTAGCGCTCTCTTTTACTGTGTGCTATAATTTTTCATTGTATATTTAGTGATTGGTTGACATTTCTTGGGCTTACACATAGTTTTTATTTTCACGTCACATTTCAAAATGTTTGTAAAAGAATTTTACAATATAATTCAAAACGAAGAATTAGCTACTAATTTTTTAGTTTCTAAAAATCTTTTAGTAAATGTAGAAAATATATTGTGCGATAAATGTAGTAGTGAAATTAAGTATTACATAAAAAAGAAAGGAAATTATTGAGGTATATAAGGAAAGGGTGTCTAACCACTCAAAGTATAAGGTAAGGTATTATTTAATATTTCATATGTATAATATTAATTACTAGGATTCAGAAGTTATTGCATTTGCATGTTTTTTTTGCACCATTGGATTTATTCTTAAGTGAGCTAGAAATTCATTCCAAGACTACGAAAAATATTAAAAGTTTATAAATCATATTTAGAGATTTTTAGATTTTAGAGCATATTTTATAATTTTTGAAGATTCAGTATGGAAATTCGAAAAATAAAAAAATGAAATGCATCCATATTAAGAGAACTTTCTTGATATTCTTGTATTGTATTTTTCAAACTTCCATTTGCTATTAAAAACAATGTTTTCCCTTATCAGTTAAATAATATATATATATATATATATATATATATATATATTTATTTATAAATTATAAACTATAACTACAGCTAGTTTTATCTAAAATAAAATACTAAGGCCGGCCGCACACCAAAAGAGCAAAACTGTGTTAGTCATTGTTAGTTATTTTTATTTAAGTAAATTAAAAACTAATTGTTTTTGGACGGCTCACACCAAAAGAGCAAAACTGTGTTAGTCATCCTTATGTTGAAATCGTATTTATAGTATTTAGTCACCATTTCGTCACCTTCCGACGAAGAAAAAATTATTGTGCCTATTTTGTGTTCTTTGTTGTTATCGAAGAGTGAAAAACAAAAAATAATGTGGGTTCATCCTTTAAATAAAATACGTACAACAAATAATTTAATTTAATTTAATTATCTTTATAATTATAGATGGTTGATTTTTGTTGGACAAGTATTATAAGTGTTTCCAGGTCTATATTTTCAGTGATCATAATAAAGTCTGCGTAGAAAAATTAAAAAAAATACATATGTTTATTATTTGTTTATATATTATGTGGATATATAATATGTACACACATGATGAAGATTTATTTAATATAGGTATATAGGTACACAAAATGTATAATATATGAAAAAAATATATAGTATATTTAAATGTAATATAATATATAAAAACAGTATTAAAATATAATAATTATATATGTTACGTATGACCGTTTTGCAACGACTACGATATCCTACTAGTTTTGACTGATAAAAATTGTTTTGTCTTGACTGACGGAATAGAGCGTGTTCTATTTTGATAAAACACGATTAATCATGACTAGAATTGACTAAAGAGCAAAAACGTTTTTTTTTTTTTTGACTATGATTTATCAGTCTGCGGGTTTTCACTGAATTACATGAGTTCTATTTTTGATTAGTCAAAATAAAGCTGCCTAATTCTGCTTTAAGCAGTTTTGCTCTTTTGGTGTGTGGTCTGCCTAAGGTGCAATATAAAACAATATAAAAAATGCGAAAAAAAAAGGTGTCTTGTTTTTCTATTGGAGAGTTATTTATTTTAGGAAACCTGAGCTATAAAAATTTTAAATTATGAAATAATCTTTACAAATCTAAAATTGAATTACATAATAATTACAAAAAAATCTTAAATGCACAGTAATACGGTGAACCGAAAAATATTCTACGGTACAAAGCGGAAACGTCGCTCCCATTTTCGTGCTCAATCGTGTGGTTTTTGGGTTATTTTTTGGTTCCTATTGTTTGGTTGCCACCGTGTTCAATCGGGTTCCTGCTATCTGTAAAGCTCGATTTACACTAGCGGTTTCGATTCGGTCCGGTCATGGTCAAATCAACATCGATAGTACGTAATCCAACGGTATCGTACACACTATCGATCACGGTCAGGTCCGGCCGATGCACGATCCAGACCGCCGCGGTCACGAGCTTTTTGATCGAAACCGTTTAGTGTGAATAGTCGCGCTAATCTCGGTCATATCCATTGTTTTGTTTATCTTAAAATAAATAATAATAATAATTATTATTATTATTATTAAATTATTTAATTATTATTATTATTATTATTAAATTATTTAATTACTGTAATTATTAATTATTAAAATTATTATTATTATAATTATTATTTTTATATATAATTTGAAATAAATAAATGATGTAAAATTATAAATTTAAAAAAAATTTGTGAAATGGACAACGAAATTCTAATTGAATTTGTGCGTGAAAATAAAGTTTTTTATGACTTTTCACATAAAAAGTATTGTGATGTAACTTATAAATTCAATTTATGGAAAGAAATTGGGGAAAAACTTCAACAAGGCGAGTTATTTAGTTATTTATTATATATTGAAATTTTAATTCATGCATAATATACATAATAGTTATATCATATACATCAGTAATGTTAAAGTTTACAAAGTTTGTCATACCTAAATTAATTAATACATATAATAACTAATATAAGTAAAAATTTATAAAAATAATATCAATAAACTGTTTTCAATTATGATTTCTTAATCATACATAATGTATGTAAATACACTTTTTTTTCAAATGTATCCGTATTGCCAGGGTGCTGATCCTTCATTTGAATTAAAATAGTCTGTAAACTTTTCTCTTACATTGAATCCTGCAGTTTGGGCATTAATACCGATTGATGGTAAATCATTCAAAATAGTAGTTTGATCTATCTCATCATACGAATTATTTTCTATTAAAAACATTTTATTATTCCGTAAATAATTATGTAAAATACAGGATACTAGAATTATGTTTTCTATGTAACCCGGTTTAGAAGTTATTGTCCTAAAATAAATTCGAAACCGTTGGGCCAAAATTCCAAAATCATTTTCAACAACGCGTCTTCCGCGGCAATGTCTATAATAATAAATTTTTCTTTCTACGGATAAATCATGTCGATGTTGAGGATATGGTCTCATTATGTATGTTTTAGGTGGAAAAGCAGAATCTGCGATAATAACATGTGGCGTAGAAATATGTCATCCAGGCAGTTGTTTAATTAAAGCTAAACTGAAAACTGCGGCGGTGTTCGCCCAACACCAGGGCCGTATTTAAGATTTTGGAGCCCGTGGGCAACAAAATTTTAGCGCCCCTCATTTTGCTTATAATTAAATTTAAAACTATTTGATAAGTAGTACTAATAATACTAATTATAAGGATTTGTGGTATCTAATTTGGTATTTAGATAAATAAAATTAAAAAAAAAAGAAAGAAAAAAATTAGTAAATGCAGTGATTGGTAAATATTATTAATATATTATAATAGGTAAAAAATAACAGAATATAGGTAATATACCAATAAATTATAAAATAAACAAATAAACATAAAATACATAACATACTATTAAATACATTATAATATATAAAATCGTTACTTCAGTTTTTTTTCTTGCTTGTTTTGCTGTAAATGTTTTTTTATCGCATCTGAGTAATATAAGCTCTTTGTATGAGTAGCTTCTATGTTTAGAACTGCAAGACATAGATGATCTTAAATATTTTTTTATTTGATGGAGTGTAGAAAAAGACCTTTCACTTGAACAGTTGGAGGCCAAATTACAAAGGAAAATTCTTAAAGCTACATCAACATATGGAAAATTTGTAACTAATTATTTTTCTTTTATAAATTTATTCATGTCTAATAGCGTTTTAGGAGAGTTGATGGTTAATTTCAATACACTTTAAAAATTAACACATTAATTTTCAAAAGATTCATCTAGATTTTGTTTATAGATCTCATTTTTTTGCATTTGCACGTATTTGTGAAGGGTTTAGTTCATATATTTTTAAAATAAAGCTGTATTTACGGATATAATTAGATATTATACAGTCAGTGGCGTAGTTACGGGGAGGGTGTAAGGGGTTTCCACCCTCCCTACACAAATTTTTTTTATTGATATTTGATTATTATTTATTAATATTTACATATTATAGTAAAATATTTTGATTTTACTATGATTAGGTATATATTAAAAATTGAATAACAAAATAATTTTCATTAAATACGGGACATAATAATAATACCATTTTAAATGTAATATTATGACATATGACCTTGTTTTAAGATATACTAAGAACACTTAAAAACTTACTCTTAAACAACCCCCCCCCCAGAAAAAAATTGTATCTACGCCACTGTATACAGTCATAGCAGATTTCCTTTTGTTGAGTTCAACTGTTAAATTGTCACAATGACATAAAATGTATTGTTTTAAAATTGTTTTGGCTATCAAATGTATGAACAGGATCATTGGATTCATCAAAATGTTTTTTTCGTTTTCTTGGTTTATTTTCAAATTCCGGAATTTTATTACAATCTACATTTTTCTTTTACTGCATCTTCATATGTTTGAAACATTTCTTACTTAAGAAAGAAGCATATTTAACATAAGCAACTAATTAATTATATAATTCTACTACAATCTCAAATTTATTTGAACAGACTGTAATAGTTTACTTGTTTTATTAAATGTATGAAGTACATCGTTCCAAAACTCAGTCATAAATGATGTTTCTAGTCTATTAAGTTGTCGAAGTAGTCTTTCAGCTTCTGACCTTGTAAGTGGTTTCTGTAGTTTATCATGTATCAAATCTATTAATGCTTTTTTCATGCCAGCCCAATTTATTTTCAAACTATGACAAGCATCATCTCGAGTAGACCAACGAGTATCTGATAAACTCTTAAGAGTGAAATTATTGTACTTTTTAATAAGCTCTAGCTATAAGTTATAAGAGAAATAAACATAAAAGTTTTGGGTGAATGAAAAAAAATTGTTTGCTTTTTCGCAACAACTAGCAGCACACATTCCAACGAGAATTAGCGAATGAGTGGAACAGGGAACAAAATCAGCTAAGGAAATAACATCTTTAATTCTTGTTTGGACATCGGAATATATGCCAGACATATTTTTGGCGTTACCATAAGACTGGCCCCTAAGAAAACAAACATTTAAGTCATATTTCTTCAATATGGAAAATATAGCCTCAGTTAACGACTCTACCTTATGCCCAGCATCGTCAATGAATCCAATAAAACGTTCCACTGGTTCTCCATTTGGTAATACATACCTTATAATAAAAGAAAGTTGTTAAATGTGAGTTACATCTGGGGTTGAATCAATACTAATTGAGAAGTATGTTGCCACTTTTACTTCATTAATTATTGTTTCTATTACTTTTTCTGACATTATACTCAGGGGCGCAATTGCAATGAAAAAACTGGGGGTGCTGAAGCCCTTCTATCTTTTTCATGTACCTTAATGGTTATAGACACCCGCAAACCGTACAATTCAACAGTTACTAAAATATTTGGTAAATATATGAATATTTCTAAATTTAAATTATTTACTATAATTTTATATTTTTATTGCACGTATAGCGAATTACCTGTCTATAAACACAAATGTTTTATCACATGATCACTTTTAGATTTTGACTGAAGCAAAGGATATTATGGTTTTATAATGATGTTTGTATTTTATTTGTTTAACACTTTTTCGGATAGAAATACTGGCCCAAAAGTTTTTTCTAGGACTATTTTAGATTTTAAATTGGCATGCGGTGGTACTTTAGATAGGTCATTTTTTAAAATCATAATAGTTTTTCTAGACATGAGGAAAAAAATGTCCTGAAATGATAAAAATACGCTGTAAATAAGACTTTCACATTTCAAATTTTAGTTATTTAGTCATAATTCCAAAAGTAATATGGCTAGAAACTTGAAACTTTTACCCTATAGCAAAGATATTTTTTTTTTCGTATCGCGAAATATTTTTGTATTGTATAAAAATTTATATATTTATACAAAAGAACTCAAAAACTATTATGTTTTTCTATACATAATGAGTACCTAATAAGTATTTAAATGTAAATTAACATTAACACATTTGGGGGTGCTAATTTTGAAAATGGGAGTGCTAAGCACACCCAAGCCCCCCCCCCAAATTGTGCCTATGATTATACTTATGAATTGCTCATAAGTATAAAAAGATAAATACGATGTATTTCCTTTACCTGGATTCCCATATTTACTTATATGCTGAGACAAAAAAGGATCATATTCTGCAACTAATTCCATTGCCATAATAAAATTACCACTATTAGCAATAGAAGATCCATACCTTTCTTCAGTTCCTCTAAATGGTAATCCATGGCTAGCTAATGACTTCACTACAGAACATACTCGAGTTAGCACATTAATCCAATAATTTGTCTTTACTTTTAACTGACGAGTAATTATAGTGTCTATTCTGCTTAAATCAGTTGCCCTACGACAATGGGATATCGACCAGCAGCTCCAGGCAATTATCAACGTCCGAAGCTCATTACAACTACAGTTGTACATTCATTTCTACAGCCACGCGATTCACCTGACGGCAAACTATATACGGACTACTCGATTGACAAAGCACGTATGTACGTACCGTCAATACACCGGCATCGAGTATTTAACGGATTACACGGTCAGGCTCATGACAGAATTCGAGCCACATTCTCGCTCATCAAGTCGAGATACTGCTGGCCGGACATGAACCGCAAAATAACTCACTGGACCCGATACTGCAAACCATGCCAACGTGCACAGACACAAGACGACCAGTATTACGCCTTTCGCTCCATCCGAGCGACGTTTCAAGCACATCCACATCGATCTGGTTAGTCCACTATCTCCGTCCAAGGGATTTAAGTATTTACTCACTGGCTAGACGTATAGCCGCTGGAAAATATATCCGCATGCGTAGTCGCTCACCTATTAACGTCAAACTGGATAGCACGTTTCGGTGTACCCGATACGATCATTACTGATCAAGGTCGACAGTTCGAGTCGGACCTATTCCAGTCGCCTACATCCACATTCAGTATAGCTTATTCGAGAACCTCTTCATACCACCTACAAACTAACGGCATGCGTCGAGCGTTTTCAATATATCAATATATTCAATAATCGGCCCCCTCCAAAATGAAAACCTCTATACGCCACTGTATCTAAATAATATATTATAATTTTATTTTAGCTATTAAATAATAATGTTCAATTTCGTTATAATTTTTTTTGTTATTGAGATGTTTAGTTTCAACTATAGTGTAATGTACTATGTATACATTATTTTTTCATTCGTATATTATAGTTACTACGTATTTACAACTATAACCATGAAGAAATTAATTGAAGTAATATGAATCACGTGTGAGTCGCAAAATTTCGAATTGGAAAAATTTGCGAAACAGCATTAGCAACCAAATGTATTCAGCCATCCAGTATATACGCTCCGCTTATATTTGTTACTATCATTTGCTATGTCTATGTTGATGTTAAATTAAAAAGTGTTAAATAAAATATCAGTAATAACGTAATAAGTATTCTTGATAAAGTTATTAATCTAACTCTAAAATCCTTACATCCTAATATTGTGTAACCGTGTTGAACTCATAACTCGACACATTACACTAGTTGGTTTTGATAATTCATACTTAAACTTATTAGTCATTTATATAGATATTATATAATGAATTTTTATGTTTAAGATGTTTGTGAATTGTATTGTTAATACTCAATACAAAATTTAGTAAATAGCCTTTGTGTGATAAATTTTGATAAAGTCTGGTTTATGAAATGTTCAAATAGGTAATTGGGTAAATATAGATATAAATAAACATTAATAAAACCCATCTTAACATATTAGATTAGTTATTGCTGTTTTGATTATTTTTTCAAATATATCTTGTATGTATAATGATTTATTTACTGAAAATGGTTGAAGCCCAAAAAAATGTAAAATTCGTATGTAGTATGTTCAAATTTTGAATAGTTAGATTCATAACTCATATTATTATAGTGATTTGATATAATATATTGATAACAGCCTAACATTAACGAATGGATCTTCGCAGGAAAAAATTTTTTGTGACCGTATATAATATTGCCTACATTTAGCCCCTTTTTTGCAGCTATTAAAATGTGATAACATTGATAAAACGATAACATCATTTTTATTATAATAGTTTTATATATATTGCTAAATTTAAATTAAAATAGTTAAATAAATTTAATAAAACACAATTAGAAAAAAAAACACAATATCGTAGTTTAAAAATACACAATTCATTGCGAATACTTCATGCGAAATATAATACAAATGTTATAATTAGGTTTAATATTTTGTATTTTTATAATAAAAGCCTACCTAACTGTTTAAAGTTTAAACCATAGGTCCCATCAACACAGATTTAGTCATTTCTAAATACAAAAATCATCTCTTCCTAAATTTGTGGCAAAATTATCTTGCACAGTATTTAAAATACTAAATTGGATTATTAATAGATTTTACTATTTGGCTCATAACACTCTTACTATGATATAAACATTTTAATGTTGTTTCTTCTACAGAATCGTGGACATCATTTAATACCCTTTGAATAGGAACCAGTATAGATGGTAGTATAGTATTATATAAAATAAAATCAGCTACCTGCCAATTCCGCTCTATCAGCTGTAGTAAACCTTAATTAACCAATTTCATTTTGGTGCCATAATTGAGTATTGCTGTATCTTACAATTAATTCATTGTTCTTGTTTAATAAAGATTAAAATATGGCACTTTGAAATTAGAGTTATGAAAAAATATGAGAGTAATGAAATATAATATTTTTATTACTTTTGAATATTACCTTTTAAATGACGATCGTAAGTGAATATTGTGTTTTTTTTTCGAATTGTGTATTATTAAATTTATTTAACTAGTATTGTATTTAACTATTTAAATTTAAATTTAGCAATATATAAAATTATTATAATAAAAATTATGTTATCGTTTTATCAATGTTATCACATTTTGATAGCTGCAAAAACGAAGCTAAATGTAGGCAATATTAAATACGGACACAAAAAATTTTTCCTGTGGAGATTCATTCGTTAACATTATGATAGTGGTGAATAAATTACGCGCATATGCAGAATGCATAAGGTACATTCCTGTGTTTAGATTACTTTATAGTTTAGACGCTCCTCATTCTCCCTAGACGTGTGTCGTCGTGTCATTATCATCGTCAACATTCAGTGATACTCCATGATTCATACCAACGTTTGGGACGCACTGCTCGTTTCCGTTGCCCCGTCCATGTGACCGGCTTGATGTACTGAGCGGTGTTGTTTCTCCGCACACGGCCATTTTGTTTGTTATTCCTTTCCCGTATCGTCGTGTAATTCGTATATCTGTTGCCGCCACCGCGAAATCCAAACGACCCCTTTCATTCACGATTTGGATGTTTAATCATCCGACTTGGTTCCAGCACCACATTGTCTGGACGATCGTGTACAATATAGGCTCATACCACTGTGGTTGACGGCCGCAGAAATTGGGCGTGCACTGAGTAAACCAGTCAAGTTCGTTTTGGCCGAGAAAAATTCGGAAAACAAGCGCAGTGCCATACCGTTCGGCAGACGGAAGAGGAGAAAAAAGTCTAAAACGAGTCCTGTGCCCTGTATTATGAACCACATGGTCGAACGGGACAGTGAAAATGACGTTCCGGAGGAAATGGATATCTCGGAAGGTAATCGACGATGAGAAAGGGATGCTCTGTGGCGCGGTTGCCGCCGTCCCACGTCGTCAAGACGGTTATTCGTTTTTTATAATACGACAAAACGATTACTTGCGAGTTATTGTTTTTATACGGTTCATGCGCATCAGACTTTTTTCATTTGTTATGCTTTCGTCCCCGTAGTGTTACTTCTGTCGCTCTGTAATTAACTTTGCACTGTTTATATTACTGTTATCTACTGCGTGAGTGTAATTAGGATTCAGCTGTATTTTATTTTGATTTATTTAAAGTATTTCGTATTATACTGTTGCTACGTGGTTTGATAGCGTTTTAACTTTTCAAAGGTCGTATTTACAATATTTTACAGTTGATATACTCTAGACCAACTTAAAAATACCTTCATTGAATGATAACCTATCAAAAAAAAAAAAAAAAAAAAATCCAACAATCTTTTAAAGGTTTTTTTAAATGTTAAAGGGTTATAATAATTATTCAAAATTCATCCTGACCATTTGTTTTTTTACAGATATTTTGTAATTTGAATTTGATAAAAGCCTGTTAAGTTATGAATGCCTAATATTTTTAAAATAAACTATTGATTAATATCTGTGGTACATTTTGAACATTTTTTAAAATATTAATATAAAAGCCAAAAGTTATTTGCAAATTTTTCATTTCTTATTTAATTTATACTACAAAGTATTTTATTAACATTCATGTAGGATTTAATTAATATGTTATAACTGTGTTAATGGACAATAATAATGAGTTATTTTTGACTGTTACCATTATGATGACTTCGGAAACTATTGGTATAATTTTATGAAAGATGATAAAGATTTAAATAAATGGTAGGGTACGTTTATAACTATATGAACATTGTATCTTTGATGTTTGTGAAAACATTTATTGTATTTTCAGACATGATCTATGTCTAACATTCATTAAAAGTGAATCTATTTTTCTAAAAAATAAATAATTGCTCAAATTATTTAACATGTTCTATATATTACGACTAGCCGACCCGTCACAGCTTCGCCCGTGATTGGTTGTTTATTTTGCCTTCGGACCATGATATGTAGAATTTTTTATTCAAATATTATTGTTATTATTGTTTAATGTGATCAGCAAGTAAATATAAAAAAACGGTTAATGAAAACGGATTGAAATTTTTCTAGCGTTATAAATGATAAAAATAAATACAGATAAAAAAGAAATAATTTATGGTTGATAAAGAATTTGATTGAAGTTGATGAAGAATAAAAAAGAAAAAAAAAAGAATTAAAATAAGAATTTTATAATACTTCTGATTATATGATGCTTTTTGTTATATTTCCTGTTGAAATTAAAATCATAAGATGATTCGGGTCCCCAGTTCGAGAAAATACCACGTATATATGCCCATGTGAGAAGCACTCTGTACGAAGATCTATGCCAACATACTTGAATGTTTGACCTTGCGCTTTGTTTATGGTAATGGCAAAAGAAACTTTAACCGGGAATTGAAGTTGTTTGGAAGAAAACGGGAATTCTTGGAATAAATGCAATTTCTCCTTTCACTGGCCCTGTAAGAATTACGGCTTCTATATTATTTCGCAACGATTTTATTTGTAATCTTGTACCGTTACATAAGTTCGGTGGTTGAAGATTACGTAATAATGTAATTGGAGCACCAATTTTTAATTTTAGCTTATGAGGAGGAAATCCCGAAGGAGAAAGAGAATTGAGAAATTCTTGTGGATAATGAATAGCATCATCTGTTGATGTAATTGTATCAATAGATAGATATTCACTTGAGTGTCCATCGAATTTTAGAAGGATGATATCATTAATTTTTCCTGCTGTTACATTTCTCGGAGAGATAATAGCTCTTTCACATAACCACTGATAAGATTTATTGGACAGATTAAAAATGTCAGGATAAACTGTAGAAATCAACTCTTCCACGTTATTGACCACCCGTCCAATCGTGTGATTGACAGAAATGTAACCATTTTCATTTTCTAAAGTTCCATTTCCAATTTTCAACAACTGTGCTGGAAAAGTATCGTCCCCTCCACATAAATAAACTCTCATGTTTGTTCGCAAATAAAGTTTTTCAACATAGTTCCATATAGGGGAAGATTTTAAGCAAGCATTAACGACATCAGCTCGAGTACCTTTAGGGATTACTGGTAAAGTTTGACGGAAATCACCATGCCACCCATAAACTCATTATTACACCTTTCAGAAATCATTTTTGCCATCAAATCTACGACTTATTGGCTGAATAATGTTTTGTAATAATGTAGATGATTTAGACTTGTTTCTCTAACCATAAACCTATAAGAATAAAATTGCATGCAGGAGACAGTTTTTGTTCGATTTTGGTTATTTTTCTGTAAAATATTAATGTGATAACCGTCTTCGCCTCTAGTATACATCAATAGACATTGCAGTGCATCATAAGATCTATTCAATTCGGAAACTCGACTCAAGTGTCCACTCCGACCGTGCAGAACTATATCTCTGGGACCTTTATCTTCATTAACTAATAATACAGCTACTTCATCGATGGTAGGTGCATTATATTGACCTCTGTGTTCATCTTGAGGAACTCTGTCAGCATGAATAATTAACTTAAAGTTTTGCCACTCATCAAAAGACCTCGACTCCAGATTAGATCTGAAGCTGTGTATGAGGTGATTATTTTCACGCAAAACTGTTTGCAATGATTCAATGAGACCTCTTTTTAAATTTGGAATTATATTTGTTCGAATAGATATTTGATCCGATTCTGACATAAAATACATTTGTAAAAATTTAGCATTATTTCCAATTTCGGGTAATAAACTACCTATTAAATGATGCACTTGACCCTGAATTTTAAAAAAGGGCATGAAGTTCCCTTCAGCTATTTCGTTTGCTCCAAATTATGTAATTTGAAACAGAGTATTATACCGTCTAGAATTATCAAAGAAATGTTTTGATAGATGGTGAGAATTATCAATTAAACTTTTAATTAGGTCTGGAAGATCCTTAAATTGGTGTAAAACAACTTTACCGTCAGCGCAGCAAAGTCTATGGGTTTCATCTTTCCATTTTTTTGCATGGCACTTAGGACATAATATAGTCATTCGTCCAATTTGAAGCGCTTTAATATTTAAATAATCAATCTCGTATTGATATACGCACAATATAGGTACAATTGTTTTTAATTTTTTATGAACTTTTATGAACTTTTTTACTGACAAAAGTGGTACTAAAACCTTCAGCAGAGTGTCGGGTTTCAGCCAAAAAAAATTTCAGCCAAATCGGTTTAGTATATTTCTCGGTTGAAGGAAAACCCTTACAATTTTATATATAGTATAGATAGATTATTTGCTAATTAATATTAATGTTAGTAAATTATTACAAATACTTAACTTAAAAATGAATGAACTAATATAAACATAAATAGTAAAATTCTTTGTGTCTTTGTTCATCAAATTTATCTGTTATGATTTTCATAATCATTCTTAAAAGTATTGTATTTTGGTTTTGTATGATCATCATTTCAATATATTACACACAGTATTGTAGTATCCTAATGAAATGTTTGATAAAAAAAATCAGTAGTGGTTCAGAAAAGTTGTTTTGTGGTTCTTTGCTTATAATACCAATTTATATAACATTAAAATTAATCAAATTGCTAACTATGAAAAACTAAAATCATTAAATATAAGAATATTAGTTTTTGGTGTTTTCTTTTTAAAATCTTTAAATTTAAATCTTAAAAATTAAATTGAAAGTATCCTCCTTCAATTCCAGACATAATTTGCATTGTACTATACTTCAATATATTAAAAAAAAAAAAAAAAATTACTCATCCATATCAAAAGAAGCCATATATAATACAAAAAAATAATTGTTTATTTTAATGTTATGTAGGATATATATATTTTTTTGTATTCAATATAATTAATTTTGTGTTATCTATTTAATAGATAATATTGTGGTGTTAATATTTTAAAATAAATAATTTGAATATTTAATGGAATTGTGCAGCGGTTCCTTAACCTGTAGCCTGTGGCCCCTTATTAGTTGTAGCAACTTATCATCTAATTTTTTGTAGCATTATCAACATGGACAGGTGTTATTAGTTTATGATAAAATTAGCTATTATAATAATAGTTTTACCTTATAAACTTAGTGGAGGAAGGCTGTTGTGGCTTATTGTATGATTATTTTTGCAGTGATCCCTGTCACAAAATGTTAAGAAGTGCTGAGTAGGGTAAACTATATCAACTTATTATAGTATTAGTATATTATAGTAATGTAAGTTTAATACAAAACCTATTAAATTTATTTCTCCTTTTGGGTCCAACATTTTTCTAATTAACATGGTTTTTATAACAAGTTAAATTAATATTTTTATTTGATTTTGATGTTCACTTGCTTTGTGAATGTACTTTTAGAAAATAATGTGCTATATGATATGATTTTATTAAAATATATTTTTCTTTTTCTTTGCTTAACATGTATCAAATGTATTTGTTTACCAATATTACCAATATTTAAAATGTAATACAAAAAATCAAGAAAAAAACAAAACCCGTTATTATTAAAAGGTTATATTTTATTTATTTTTAGTCCTCACTAATGAGGTATTGAATGTGCCTTTGATGTTAAGAGAAACTCGAGAGATGCCAATGAATACTGATTTAGTAGATGAGGTACCTGAGGGCATTCCCATTGCTTCGAATGATGTAGAAATGGAAGAAGGTAATTATTTGTTAATTTATGAACAATGATAATAACTTAATTGTAGATTTGTATTTAATAACTGTATGCTTGTTAAGTTGAACTGTAATTTGTGTTAATTTAAACCAATCTTCACAATAATATAATAGATATTAATTTTTTTTTTCAAAATTAAATTTATCATAATATTATACTTGCACAATATCTGTTAATTATCCTATTTTATACTTCATTAATATTATTTTAAGCATGATTCAGAAGTTAAAACACTAATGTAGTTTATATTTAGCGCTAGAAATGGGAAAATATGCAAAATAAAACTAAAAAAAAAAAAACAATTATCAATATAGTTGTTTTTGAAATATTATATTTATTTATTTATTTAAATTCTGTTATTAACAATTATTAATCTCTACAAAGTTGTATTTTTAAAATTTTTTTTTATTAATTGATAAAATTAGAGAATTCCAATCTCCTAAATGATTAGGAATAGTGGAGATAAATAAATTCTAAGCGGAACTGTATTAATTCTAGATCTTGTTTTAGATATTTATTCAGAGAAAATTAATTATAAAATAAATTTAATTATACAGTTTTTTTTTTCGTTATTACATGAAAATATGTCTAAAAATAATAAATATGCAAAAGCTGACAAAATAAATGTTTGTATAACATGAGGTTCATATGAAACAAATTTACATCATAGTATATTCTAAGATTTACTAAAAATGTATATGCAATTAAAGATAAAACTTTCTAGTCTTGATTATTAGTTATAACTAGGGAACGGATTTATATGTAATAAAAATACAGAAATATGTACATATATATGTAAGTATAATTTATAAAATATGTGCTAAAAACATCCAAATATGTGGGGAAAAAAAAATTTAAAAAAAAGTGATTATTATTATTAAATTATCAAAAAGATTTGTTGCATTGAATTATTAAAATATCTTGTAAATTATCAAATGTTAAATGTCTCCTATTAGGTATCAAAATACTTTTAAAGCGGCTAAATTATCGTTTCACATCAACCGATGTATTAAAAGCATATTTCAAGTGCATACTATCAGAAGGCGATAATTCCAAATTTTTAAAAGGTTGTCTACCATTTATTATGTCATTGATTGTTTTAAAATCAATATTGCCTGGAATTTTTTTCTGTAACAGCATGAATTTTCTTTTTTACGACATCTATTGGTCCGCTTACGAGTTTTAATCGCTGATTCAACAATTTGCATACTATCATTTGGTGAAGTATTTTTTATTAATAATTTTGTTAAATTATTTTTAATTAAAATTAAATTATTTTCAATGTTTCATTTTGCATAATATTTTGAGCTTTGCCAGTAGAGATAAAAGTTTCTGGATATAATTTTTAAATAATTTCTTGTATTTTCGTACGAAGAAGACGCATGAATGATGAAATGATAAAAATATGTTTAAAAATATTTAAAAATTAGTGAAATATGTAAAAATATGTAATTATACCAAAATATGTAAAACTATGTAAAATAAAAGTATCATAATTTTAATAGGAATGATTTAAATCATAAACATTTCTTATCGAATCTTAAATACCTCGTTTTAATAAAAATATGCATTTACATATAAATCCGTTCCCTAGTTATAACCAACTTTTCTCAGGTGGATGCTAAGTTAAAAATATATGATACACCTATAGATTTACTGTACATTTATTCATACCTATATGATGATAGTTTTTTATTTATAAATATTACCTTTATTAAAAAAAAAGTTGAAATATTTTTATTTTTGAAGTTAATATTATTCAGACTACAATAATGTAAGAAATAATAAAGCATTAATGATACTTTTTTTTTTTTTTAGATAATGCACGACCTGAAGCCACTTTTAGGTATGCAATTGAAAATTTTAGTAAATCTAAAGAACAAAGACTATCGCCTCCTTGTTATGTACGTGATCTTCCTTGGAAAATTATGATCATGCATAGAGTAAGCCAAGATAATCGATCAGCAAAACCGGCTCAACCTTCTGTTGGGTTTTTTCTTCAAGTATGTAATATTTAGCTTAACATTACATTTATATTAATATTATAAATTATTCATTGCTACATTTTTTTATATTAGTGTAATGGTGATTCAGAAAATACTTCTTGGAGTGTCAATGCTAGTGCCGAACTTCGTGTAATATCACAAAAAGAAGGTATAGCGAATATTGAGCGTAAAATTCAACATTTGTTTTATCCCAAGGAGAATGATTGGGGATTTAGCTTTTTCATGTCTTGGGATGATATAATTGATGAAACTAAAGGATTCATTAAAAATGATGTTGTTATATTTGAAGTAAGTTAAATATTTGTTTGGAAAAATTTCCAATTTTCATTTAGCATGACTTACAAAAAATGTCACTGATAAAAATATTTGATTTATTTAAATTATTTAATAAATTATATTTTTAAATGAATGTTTAAATATTTAACAATTTAATATTTCTTTATAATAGGTTTCTGTAACAGCTGATGCACCTCATGGTGTTAGTTGGGATTCGAAAAAACATACTGGTTATGTGGGTTTGAAAAACCAAGGTGCAACTTGTTATATGAACTCATTATTACAAGCATTATATTTTACTAATCAGCTACGCAAAGTAAATAAAATAATTTTATATTTTTCACATTTCTGATTCCAATATTTATTTTTAGGCTGTATATAAAATGCCCACTGAAAGTGATGATAGCAATAAAAGTGTTGCTTTGGCGTTGCAACGAGTATTTCATGAGCTTCAGTTCTATGATAAGCCTGTTGGTACAAAAAAGTTAACTAAGAGCTTTGGATGGGAAACACTTGATTCATTTATGCAACATGATGTTCAAGAATTTTTGAGAGTTGTATGTGAATTATTCTAAATAAAATAAAATAAATGTTTAATTGTGTTTATTGATTTTTATTGAAGTTGCTTGACAAATTGGAAAATAAAATGAAAGGAACGTGTGTTGAAGGAACAATACCAAAGTTATTCGAGGGTAAAATGATTGTAAGTTATTTTTTTACTTTCAAATACATTAATAATATTTTATTTATATAAAATAATTATCAATTACCATGTATTTTTAGTCATATATAAACTGTAAAAATGTGGATTACACTTCTAAGCGGACAGAAACATTTTATGATATCCAGCTTAATATTAAAGGGAAAAAAAACAGTAAGTAATTCAAAACTATAATTTATTGTATTATTCAATTTTAAGTTATATTAAATTTAGTATATATTTAATTTATTATTCATCATGCAAAATGTAATTTGAAAATACTATATTAACAACTAGAAGAACAATTATCTTATAATTGTAAAATAATTTTTGGGCATTGATTTTTTCAAATAATTTTTTTAATATTTCCTATGAATATTAAAAAAAAAAAAAAAAAAAAATGAAAATAATATACAATAATTTTTAATTTTGTGTCACATATCACTTTTTAGTTTACGAGTCATTTAAAGATTATATTCAAGTTGAGATACTAGATGGAGATAATAGATATGATGCTGGTGAATATGGCTTACAAGATGCTGAAAAGGGTGTCATATTTGCTTCGTTTCCTCCTGTATTTTATTTACACCTTATGCGATTTCAATATGATCCAGTTACAGACAGTTCTGTGAAATTCAATGATAGGTAAAAACCAAATTTATAATTAGTTTTAGAATATTTATATCTTATATTTTAAAATATTTGTTTTAGATTTGAATTTTATGATAAAATCAATTTAGATGAGTATTTAAAAGTAAAGGAACAAACTCCAGCTGATTATATATTACATGCTGTACTTGTTCATAGTGGAGATAACCACGGTGGACATTATGTTGTATTCATTAATCCTAAAGGAGATGGCAAAGTATTTCTACAATCAATATTTTTTTATATTACCTATTAACAAATTAATTTAATTTAAGTGGTGTAAATTTGACGATGATGTTGTATCAAGATGTCCTAAAGAAGAAGCAATTGAACATAATTTTGGTGGTAATGACGGTGATGAGAACATGATGCCAATAAAACAATGTACAAATGCTTATATGTTAGTTTATATACGTGATTCTGAACTTAAAAATGTTCTTCAAGAAGTGACTATCAATGACATACCAAAAGAAGTAGGTATAATAGCTAATACTATCCTCAAACAATCTTGTCCAATTAAGCTAAAAAATCTAATACAATATGCTGTATTTAGGGTATTATGTTGATGATTTTGTATGTGTTTAGTTGGTAGAACGATTGCAAGATGAGAAACGTATTGAAACTATACGCCGAAAAGAACGAAATGATTTGCATATATACACCAATGTACAAGTGGTCTTAGAAGACTGTTTTGATAGTTATTTAGGATTAGACTTGTTTGATTTAGATCAGTCTGCTGTCCGTACAGTCAAAGTAAAAAAGACAAATACTTTGAAAGAAGTACATAAATTGTTGGCAGACACTTTTGTAAGTTACATTTAAATATTTTCAAAACAATTGTAAATTATAAATTTTTTTTAGAAATATCATTCTAATCAAATTAGAATTTGGCCTCTAATTACTAGTAAGCATGATTCTTTAAGACCTACATATCTTGATATGGAAGCAAATGCTTTAAAAACTATTCAAGATTTACAAGACAGTTCAGCAACTACTTGGAATATTTGGCTAGAGTTAGTTGAGCCAAGCATGAATTCATTATTACCATTTGATAGAAATAATCAGTCTTTGATTTTTTTTAAACTGTTTATACCCGAAGAAAGGCTATTAGTTTATTGTGGTTACTATTTTGTGACGTATGAAACAACAATAGGTAAGTGTTAACTTTCAAATAATAAAACATTATTATTATTTTTTTAAATAAAACTAAGTCAAGTTTTGTTTATATTTTTCTAGATTCTCTTATGAATATCATGAACAAACGAGCTGGTTTTGATGAGAACACAAAACTTGCAGTTTATAAAGAAACTAACAAAAATGAAGTAGAAAAAATTACTAAACCTGAAGATCCAATCTGCGAAGTATGAATACTAATGATATAATTTTTTTTAATTATTATTATTAAGTCTAACATATTTTTAATTCAAGATTATGCAGACTTCAACATATGGTGAAATATTAATTTATCAAAAAGAAGAACTTATAAGAAATTATCTTAGTGTTATTGATCATTTTAAGTATATTTTCAATGAAAAAAAAGTATATATTTATGGCTATTAATTTAAAATCTTTTTAGGAATATTTGTTCTCAAGCATATGTAACATTTTGTGATAAACTTATTCCTAATGATCCCGGGTTTACCTTGGGATTACCTGGATGGACATCGTACCCTGATTTATTACAAGCAGTTGCTGAAAGAGTAGCTGTCGACCAAAGAAAATTACAGATTTATTTAAGTATTAAGTATGTATAGAGTTTTCATTAGTACATTTTATTTTCTTGTATTCATATTCCTTGTTTTAGCAGCGGTCAAAAAGAATGTCCTGGTGAGCCAATTGGGTACTCTTATGGTGGACAAATTCGTGACCTAATTTCTAATAATAGCTATGGAAAAAGGTATCCCAAGAAATTCTTTTATCAAGAAATGCACATGCCTGTTGATGAGTTAGAAAGCAAGAAACCTGTCAAAGTAAGTTAAGTGGAGTATTCTTTAAATATGATTCTCTATTATTTACAGTTTTATGATTTATTTTATAGATTGTTTGGTGTGGTCCAAAAATAAAAGATGAAAGGGAAATAATCTTATATTTAAATAAGAATGATGGATCAAGTGCTCATTTTTATGAAGTATTACGTGACAGTGTAGAATTATCACCTGAAGGATCTGGACAATTTAGGTAAGAAATTTAAAAATAAATTATCTTTCTTAGAATAAATATTATATTAAAATAAATTTATAGAACAGTAGAAATCATATCTGCTAAAATATCTAAATGGTTCAATCCTGGAGTAAGAATTCCTGAAGCTAATTCATCATTTCCGTCCAAATATTATAGGTTTGTTATAAAATATAATTACATTTATGTGCCCATTATTTTATTAATTTTAATTTTAATTTATAAATGTAAATAGAATAGAAGAAATACCCAAAAATGAGATGGAACTTAGTGAAAATGAATTATTAGTTCCTGTAAATCATTTCTCTAAAGAAGTATATTCTACATTTGGTACTCCTTTTTTAATTAAAATTATACATGTAAGTAAAGAATTAAAATTAATAATATTGAATTATATAGATTTAAAAAAACTTAGTAAGATATTATAAGATATTAGTATACTATCAAACAGCTAGCTGTTTTAGACCATTTTACTCATAAGTGTGGATTTGTTTTAAATTAATAGTTGGTATTAAATCATGTATGCCTTCTAACCAGTGGTGTGCAGTGTATTTTATGTTGTAAGTGGCAAAATAAAACTTCAAATTAAATCTTATTGAAACATATTTTATTAACCACAAATATTTAATAATATAATAACAATAATTAATAACCAATATATCCATATGGTAGAATAAAAATGCATTGAAAAAGATAACTCTATACCCAATAACAAAATTGGAATTAAATTTCCTTAAATATTTTTAAGTTCTTGAAAAACAAAGCTTTTAACTCAAAAGCACTGGTGACACATTTGACTAATGAGTAGGGAACGGATTTATATGTAATAAAAATACAGAAATATGTACATATATATGTAAGTATAATTTATAAAATAAGTGCTAAAAACATCCAAATATGTAGGAAAATAATGTAATTAAAAAAAAAAAAATTTAATTATTAAATTATTAAAGTGTTTGTTGCATTGAATTATTACAATATTTTTTAATTATCAAATATTAATGTTGCCTATGAGATCTGAAAATATTTTTAAAACGGCTAAATGATCGTTCCACATCAACCTACATTGGTTGATTAAAGCATATTTGAAGCGCATTATATCAGAGGGAAATAATTCCAAATTTTTAGAAAGGTGTCTGCCACTCATTATGTCTCTCATTATTGAAAATCAATATAGCCTGGAATTTTTTTCTGTAACAGCATGAATTTTCTTTTTTACAACATCTATTGGTCCGCTTACGAGTTCTCATTTTGCAATCGTTGATTCGACAATTTAGATACTTTCATTTAAGGACATATTTTTGTTTCTAATTTTGTAAATGTATGTGCAATAAAACTAAAATTCACTGAGATGAAAATTTAATTAGTTTTTAATGTTTCATTTTGCATAATATTTTGAGCTTTTCTAATAGCGATAGAAGTTACTGGATCTAAATTTGAAATAATTTCTTGTACTTATGTACAAAGAACACGTATGAATGATGAAATGATAAAATATGTTTAAAAATATTTACAAATAAGTAAAATATGTAAAATAAAAATAGCATCATGTTAATAGGAATAATTTAAATTATGAACATTTCTTATCGAATCTTAAATATATCTTTTTAATAAAAAATATGTATTTACATAGAAATCCGTTCTCTACTAATAACTAATTTTAGTCATTATTAGTAATGATTAATCCCGTTAACTAACCAGGCTATGCCGCTGTCTGTAAGTATTTAATATCCAAAATCACTTATGTCCATAAGCAACTACTCATTTATATTATCTTCATCGCAATCCCCATATGCGTGTACTTGGTTTATACACTCCTGTATTTTACCTATTTCAACATTTAATTTCATGTTTTGGGTGTCCTCAGCTTGCTTCGGTAACTTATTTTACGACTTACCTTAAGTGCAATTTTTTATACATTTCCATGCTTCAATTAGCATGGAGCAGTAGTCCTATTTACAAGTTATTAAAAGTTATTAAAAAACCAAACTTTTTTTTTTGTCTGGTTAATTGGAAGTTCGGATAATCTGAGCTCTACTATATTTATATATTTTATACGCATTGAACTGAACATTAACTATCAATACTTGTTTATTATTTATAAATATTATGTTGGTTATGGAGAGTAAACAAAAAAAAAAAATATATAAAAGGTTAAAATCATAAAATAAGTTTTCTAAATTTCAAAATATGCCCTTAATACATTTTTTCATCTCATTTATTGGAATGTAATTAAATTTCTCTTATTAGCTTAGCATAAATAACAGTCACAAATACCAGAAATAATATGAAATTACATAGAAATTTTTTCTACTTTTAAATAAATATTATATTTATTAAGTTTTAATAATTTTTTTTATTTTTTTTTTTTTTTATTTATTTTTTTTTTTTTAGGAAGAAACTTTAGCAGATGTAAAAGAACGAATTGTTAACAAGACTGGAATTCCAGATAAAGAGCTGGAAAAAGTAAAATAATTTTTCTGGCTTGAAAAATATCTTTTTTAATTACATTTTCTATTTTAGTATAAATTTGCAATTTGTCAAGGAGTAAGAGCTACTTTTATACCGGATTCTCATGTTATGAACTTGCAAGATTTCAAAACACCTCCAACCTGTAAGTTTACATTATTTCTAATTTTTAAATTTTGAGTATATAGTTTGTCCAGCGAAATAGCCACAGCACGACCAACATTTTTTTCATTATTGTGCATTCCTTCTTTGCGCCCTGCCATAGATTTTTCCACTGAGACCGCTTTGATAATAACAAGACTGGATGAACTAGATGGCGCTACTAGCGGCAACAATTCTAGACCATCTGTTAAAAGCGCTGTATCAGCGTCCGAGTGCTGGGGCCCGTTACTCTGTCATACTCCTATTAGTATTTATGTTACACATACGTTCTCTCGCACTACAGGTTTTTTTTTTTTGTAATTTGTATTGTTTTTTTTATATTATGAAATTACCACAGGTGTTTTTGAAAATAATATTTATTCATTGAATAATAAATTATAATAATATTATCATGAACGATACTGAAAGAAGAGAGATCCTCTTACAGTAATAAATGGATACAAAGTTGGAATAACTTAGGTATTATAAATATATTAATATTTTGGTGTACTGTTTATCAACTAAGGAAAAATGAATTTAAAAATTAAAAAATATATATATATATTAATACATTAATCATGAAGTCCATTGTGGTTTTATCCCATAAATAAGGATGCTCTTCATGATTTTTAATTTTTAACTATTTTAATTTAAACATTAAAATTAAATTCACGTAGAACATTTGATAATTAATAACAACAATGTACAAAAATCATGCGATTACTAGTTGACAGTATGGTAGTTATTACCAATATATGTAATATTACATACACGATAGAAGTTTCTGTCACATTGTCGAGTATTTACTGTTAATTATCTAACTGAGCTCGATAGCTAACAGTTGACAGTGTGGCAGTAGTTGCCATTATATTTACACGGAAGTAGTTTCTTGACAATCACTGTCCTGACTGTGACTGTCGTCATGTAAACCCGGCTTTAATTAAATTTTCATTGTACTTAGATGTATTAATTTTTAATTATTTATATAAAATTATTGTTTTCAGCTCAAGGACAATGTAATCGACCGTGGTTGGGCATGGAACATCCCAACAAAACTAAACGCACACGATTAAATTATTTAGAAAAAGCTATTAAAATCTATAATTAATATTTATATATTCAAGTTAATTAATTTGAATAATTGTTTAATTAAATACTGTGTGTGATAGTAATTATGTCAAGGTGATATACCTATTTTAATTATGTGTTTTTGTGTTTAATTAAAATTGCTATTATATTTATAAATAATTCTGCTTGATTTTAAAACAAAAATGTTTTAAAGGGTACTTATTGTATATTTATTTTTATTTTACAGATGATATTATGGACAATATATAAGTTATATATATATATATATATATATATATATATATATATATATATTTATATAATTGTGTAATATTTAAAATTCAATTTTAGTGTAAATTATTTATGAAACCTTGCCTCAAGAAATTTATAATGATTTAAAATGTTGCTAACTTTATTATAACATACATAAATTTAAATGTAGAATAACATAGCCTTTAATACACCATAAATGTGAACATAGCCTATGATACACTATGAACGTGAATTAGTGGCGGATTTACATAAATTTTAATGAACTATTGTCTCCTCGCAAATTAGGTTTACTGAATTTTTTTTTTAATCCTAAAGGTAAATCCAGTCTTAAGTTAATATAATAAAATACTTGATCAGTTTTTTAAACAAAAAAGATACCTCAAGTTGAAAAAATGATTAAGAAATGTTAAAAAATTACCATAATAATTATATAAAATTTTTAATTTGAATTGAAAACCAAGTATAGTGCCTCATTTAGATGTAAATCCGTTACTGTTATGGGTAACAGATTTGGATAATACCATTACTAAAAACCATGTTGGATAAATTTAAAATTTTAGAATCAATTTTATTAATTATTTTAATTTTTAAAGGCAATGTAATTGTGTAAATAAATTCAATTATTTGTTTTTATATGTTTTTCGTTCTTTCATTTTTCAATGATACTACTAACAAAATTATATTTAGAATTAAATCTTTAGAAATATAATTTGTTTTTATTTTTTATCATTACCTAATTCTAATAAAATATTTATTTACAAGCCATCAAAAACTTAAATGTATTTTTAGTGATTAAATCTCTGGCATTTCAGGAAGTTCAGCAAACTATCATTGTTTAATGATTTTTCAAACTTTTATAATTTTACCACAATTTGAATTTATTAAAGAATACTTGCTTCTTAGTTAAATAAATCTTTATTAGTTACAATCTATTAAGTTATAAATATTAATTAAAATAAAATACATATATATATATATATTTGTAACTTAAGGTCCTTTGAAATTTCCAGCTGCTGGTGGTCTACCTGCGTAATAAACATTATTACACATTTCACAATAACCTGGTGCACCCTGAGGTCCTGGATAACCTTGTGGACCAACTGGACCTGTTAAAAAAATGTCCGTTACAATTAATGCCATTGATACACACATATTTTATATTATCCGATAGAAATTCATTAGCGTTATATTGAAAGAAAAAAAATTTGATTATTAAATTATACCGGGTCTTCCTGGTTCTCCTCTATCTCCAGGTCTACCGTGTGCTCCATTAGGACCTACAATTAAATTGTGATAGTATTATTAGAAGTATTAAATGAATGTTACAATATGTACCAGGTTGACCAGGGGGTCCTGGTGGACCTTCATATGCTACAGCTTCTGGCCCACGTTCTCCTTTATCTCCTTTAGGTCCAATTGCTCCTTCTGGACCTACAGTTCACAGTTTAATTCAATTTAACTCATTTTTTTTATTCGATTACCAAATACAATTTTATAACAATTTAAAATAAAAAAATACATTGCTGTACTTATTACAGTATCCCTTGATACTCCTACTAGATATTTATTATAGGTTCTAATTGATAATTATTATGTACCTATAGCCCATTACAGGTCCATAAGCCAGAAGATTACTAGGTTTAATACTGAAGACATTCATCTACACTCAAATTTATTTTTAAAAAAAAAATTGTATTAATTACTGCTCCAAACTATAATTTGATGTCTGATCTAATTTAAAATGGGCAATTGTAAATTCCACCGATTTTCAGGTAGTTTTTAGATTTTAGTGTTGGATTTATAACATGTAAATTCCACCGATACTTTTTTTGTACCTGAAAAAAAATGTAAGTTCTACTGGTACTTATTTTGACCTGAACACCAGACTTGGGTAGTATTCAGAATACTTTTTAAGTATTTTGAATACTTTTTAAATACTTTTTTTGAAAGTATTGATTAAAGTATTTTGAATACTTATGACGAGTATTCTGAATACTGTATTTCGAATACCGTTAAATCATCTCTTTTTTTTAAATTATTTTATTACTATTAACTATACCCTACCTTGTATAAGCTAATATTAGGTATTTATTATTGTTGTAAACCATAAACTATAACAGTTATGTAATATAAAATAACATATAGGTATTTAGCTGACAATTTTAAATATTTCTGCTGAGTGGACATCTATTATTTTTATAGTATGAAAACTAGAAGTATTTTTAAAGTATTCTAAATAATGTATTCGGAATACAATTTATACAAAGTATTTGAATACATATTTGGAATACTATTTTTGTAAGTATTTGAGTATTTATTCTAAATACTTTTAAAAAGTATTTTACCCAAGTCTGCTGAAAACACATAAACTCCTTTGAGAACACACATTCAAATATACATCACTTTACAAAACCTCTATTAGATATTCAATCATTCACTTACATTAAATTAAACAGCATTAATGAACCTAATAACTTTAGAAATTCACAATCAAAATCACACCAAAAATATTTAAACACCATAATTTCGGCATTCAAAGAAAACAATATTATCATTAGGTATGCAATTCATCAAAGCTGCATCTAAGCCAGTGGCGTATTTAGGAATTTTGCTAGGGGGGGGGATGAAATATATAATAATACATCCTAACACCCATAAATTCGTACATAATATACATTTTTAAAATCCCCTAACTTGTTACCTATTGAGGTTAGTGTGGATCAAGGCAAAATAAGAATTAATCTTTATAATTACCTCATCATTTTCCAAACAAATTTTTTTTATTTGTACTAAAATAAGAAAATAAAGTTTTTTTTTTGTTTTTGAGTATTACTCATATTGTCTTAAAACTTCACAGTTACAACTTACAAGACGCAAAAAATAAAGTCGAACAATAGTCAATTCGGCAGTAAGTCAGTACTCGGAATGGCGCGGCGTCGCTATCCGTCAACGTCCAACGACCGTACATATCTACTTTTAACGAATCACGATATCATACGATAAAATATATATATATATATAGCTATACATTAGCCATAAATATACTAGTAACAAATTTTCTAAAAATAAACCCACCCGGCCACCCTATGGTTAATCCACGGTCTTCATGGTCATTTTGTTTTGTTTACCGATTGCTTATCGGGTTTATTATAAACACTCTTGCATGAAAAATAATTCGCAGAAACGTACAAAATACAGTACACCATAATATAGGTATAGTTTTTGTTGCCTGATAGTCGTACATGCCGCCAACGATAAACGATTAGTGGCGATTAGTATATCAGACTATCAGAGCGGTAAAATTACCACGACTAGAACATTTAGAAAACAGAAAACATACATGCTTGAAAGTAATATCATATTAAGAATATTAGAGAAAATGAGACAACTTATAGCTACCTAGGAAAAAAAAAAAGGTCAAGGGGGGGGATCTATCCCCCATATCCCCCCCCCCGTAAATACGCCACTGATCTAAGCATTAACCAGCAAAATTTTAAATGTTTAATTATTGTATTTAATACACTAAATATATAATAATAAATCTATACCCACATAAATTATGTTATCTTAATTAATCAGATTGGATTTGGATTAAAATTTTACCTAAATTATGTTACTTTTATTTCAGGTAAAAAATACCAGTGAAATTTACATGATTTTTTTAGGTAAAAATATCATAACGGTGGAATTCACATTTCTTTTCAGGTAAAAAAAAACGTACTGGTGGAATTTACATGAAAAAAGGTCTAAAAAAGTAGTATTCGGTGGAATTTACATGCGCCCTTTAAAATAAATTGCACAATAGAAATTACAATTTAGTGATTTTCTAATTTAATCTTTTACAATAATTATCTGGTTTAATTTATTATAAATAATTTAATATATATATTCAACGTATAATTTAGTAGGTAAATAATTAAAAATAAAATGAATAAATATAAGTACAATCATTGATTATAAATGCAGAAAGACACGATAGTCTGGACGAATTCAGACTTAGGCCCGATGCACACGTGTGTTTTTCGCCGCTGCGGACATCTAACGTGGAAAAATCGAACGTATGCATAAGTCGATATACAACAATGTACTACTGAACCGGATTTGCGTGCGCGGTGCCGTTGCGGCGACGTTATCTGCGGCAGACACCGAACGCAGCGCGCCGCAAGACATGTGCACTGCACGATTTGATCACATATAAAGTTCGCCGTATTAGCGGCACCGCAGCGGAAAAAAACGCACGTGTGCATCGTGTGCCTTAGTTTTTTCCAGGTTCCAAGAATTGTACCGACTAACTTTATAATTATTTTCTTTGCGTCACCAGCAAGTCGATTTATCTATTCCGTAATTCCAAGCGTTCGTACCACAGCTCTGGTCATTATCAGTATTAACTGAATTACTTCAACTTTTTGGTCTGAAGTTAAAGTTTAATTAAAGTGTTTACGAAGAGCCGTTATAAATTTATGACAACTGAAATGTATAAAATAAGTAGGTGCACACAACAAGAAGAAAGTGAATGAACTAACGAGCGACACATTTATTATTATTCATTTATTTATTTATTATTACATTTATTATTTATTGTCAATAAAATAATTTACGTTTAATTAGAGCACAAATTATTTTTCTATGCTAAGTAAAAATGTAGGCTTGTGGCCGTTATATTTTTATTTGGCCTGAGTAAAATTTTAGAAGTTCGGCGCCAATGGATACTGTAAATTTGTTGAGTATAAAATACAATGTGTCTTCTCAATATAATGGAAATGATTATTAACTTTTAATAATATACCTACTTAATGATATCTAACCCTTAACCTGTTGTATAAAAGGTACCTACAGTGCTCGACTTGAGAGGGGATGCAAGGGGACGGAGTACCCCAACTAATTTTCAGAAATTTTAGCGTTCTCTTTCTATTATTATGTTATAATTATAACGCTTAACAAGTTTTGGGGACGCTCTTTTTTTTAAAGTAAATAAAGTCCCCCTTCTTTAATTTTTCCAAGTCGAGCATTGGGTACCCATTCGTGGAGATTTATCATAAGTTATGAATCATTTGTGAATCATAACCATTCATAAACATAAACGATTCCGCATGATTTCAAATGTAGCGTTGCCGTAACATCAGTTTATAAATACTTGTTAAAACTTATAGACGATACAGATGTATTTACGTACCTACATATAGACGTGTTGATTCATATAGGTACATTTGTATTTGATGATAAAAATAATTAAAAAAAAAAAAATAAATAAACTAACAGCTTTACCTAATTATTTTATTGCATGTGGTATTGAAATATTATGTTCTTATTATTGTTTATAGAAACAACATATTTTAATCAAAGAAATAAAAACACAAAAACTGATTAGTATCAAAATACAAATAATAATTAAATAATGTAAAATAAAATTAATAAAGTGAATAATAATAGTAGTGTTAATAACAACGAAAATTTCGTATAAAGATCCGTTAAACCAAGTTTTCACAAACAATTACACGTGTAAATCAAAAACAAATGACTGCACAGTTCAAAATTATGGAAAATATGAATTCAGGTCTTAACTCTGAATTTGAAATTATGTGGAATCATACATATATTTGTAATTTGCAGAATCGTTTATGTTTATAAATAATTATGAAGATCTACATGATTCCGTAAATTTTGCGGAATCGTAATGTAGCCCATTTTTCTATTACATTGTAACTTACCTGTTGATCCTTGTGTACCGGGAGCTCCTGGGAAACCTCTTTCACCCGGCATTCCTAACCCCGGTGGCCCGGGCTCGCCTGTTCAATACAATAAGCATCAAATGGGTGATTTTTATTTTCTTTTAATTATATCGCATAATGACTACGTATGTTTTAACTTACCCGGTGGTCCTTGGATACCTGGGGATCCGGGCTTACCGATAATTGACCGACCCGGTGGTCCGGGTGGACCAACGAGCGAGCTGGTAAGTTCCATTAATTGTTCTGAAACCGATCATCAGGATTTATGACTTAAAATTCGTATAGCAACTGATTTAGTTTAAAAAAAATTACCTTTCAAAATCGATATACAGATTTCTTTTATCTCATTTTCACTGAAACTATTCCCCTATAATGAAGTATTAAACTAATTAAAATAATATATTATAAAACTCAATATTATTATGGTGATTAAAATATACGATATAATAATCAACACATCGCTGTTTCGGGCTACGGGACGTGAAATATTGAAAAGGCTATGCTATTATATAGACAAATTATATCTTTGATAACGCATTTACATTTTATCCTTAAACATATTAATAATAACGAGGAATGTATTGTTAAAATGTTTATTTGGATACCAACTATACAGCATGGTACGGTTCTGTGAGCAAATGTACACTATACTTATATGCCTATAAATGTTAAATGGTTTTACGTACAGAATAACCCGGTGGCCCAGGTTCTCCACGTTCTCCTTTTTCGCCTTGTATTCCAAGTGTCCCCTGTTAAAAATATATATTTTAGCTATGAACTTAGTTGTGTAATATATATTAACTGTTGTCAGTTTCCATGAAAATAAAAATAAAATAATTACCTTTTAAGCAAATTTACAAATACAGCAGTAATTATGTACTGGGTACTTATTATAACCTTTATATTATGGTAAAATTATATTTTAGTACTACTGAGTTTGTATGAACCCAATAACCTACTACCCATATTGAGTTAGGACGTAAACTTACCGGTCTTAAATATTGCGTGTCTTGTTTAGCTGGAATATAAATTGAAGATCCGGGAAGTCCAGGCTCGCCTCTCAAACCTGGAACTCCTGGTTCTCCCTGCGAAATACAATAATTTATCCATGGAAAACTATTATAATTATCTTATAGTAAACTGTAATATTAAAAGATTACACATAGTAATTACCGGTTCTCCTTTTTCCCCTCGTAAAGCAGGTAACGATGGTAAACCTGGAGTACCAGGTAAACCTTGAAGTCCTCGAAGGCCCTTAAAAATGTAATTTTTATTTTTTGGAAATTAAGAAAATAATTTTTTCTTGTATGGAATAAATAGGGATTCAGGAATAACTCAAAGATTTAAAAAAAATAGTATAACACAGAAGAAGTTATTTTATAGTTTTCATATTACTTCAGCTCCTGGTAAACCTGGAGGTCCTTGTAATCCTGGAGGTCCCTCAATTCCTAAAAGTCCTCGAGGCCCTGGTGGTCCTTGTAGTCCTGGTGGTCCTGGTGGTCCTATTGGTCCTGGTGGTCCCCGTTGTCCTGTTGAACCTTGTAGACTTTGATTTACATTTACTTGGTGTGCTTTTGAACATTTATTTTCTAGAGGACATTTACTACTATAGGTTTCTTCTCCAATCTTCGTGAAAAAATTAAAGCATTTAAAATGTATTTTATAATTAATCTTATATTATAGGCTTTACTAAATTATTGAGTTCGGCACAGCCTTCTCGTTGTGGTCTTGTTGGATCACAACTAAGTGTTACCCATTGTACATCCACCTAAAACATGTTTTTAATATTTCAATAATAAAACTTAATATATTTGTATTTTGTAATTGTATTAAATAATTATATATATGTAAATAGAAAAAAAAATATTTATAACTATAAAGTTTTAAAAATAGCTGGAAGAAAAGAAAAAATGTCGTTTGGAGACGAACAATATTAAAGGATATTTTGAGTATCACAATAATTGAAAGGGTCTTAAATAGTTGTACATAGAAGGATAAATATACTAGAATATACCGTTGAAAAAGGAAAATATTAAGGAGAATCTATTCGATAGATATTCGGATACTAAACCATTGGTTATAAATATTAATATTATAGTTAAACATATGTATTGGACACCTGAACGAATAATGGAAATTATCTACTGTTGAAAAGTGCAGACAAAGTTTTAATTTAAGTTTGAAAATTAGAAAGCCGATCATTAGATACAAAGTGATTTTTTCTTTTTTTGTGCCTTCATCATATTGAATATTGGTTAAAAACTAGGTAGTACATCAAACGTGTAATTTTGTGGAAAAGTTAAGATTTATCCATAGTTAAGAGATTTTATTGCTAAATTATATTTTAATGTAAAATTTAAAATCTGTATTAAACGAATCATGTTAGATAGTACAGAAACCTATCTTAGATGGTAATTTTATTAAGTCCTATCCAAAATTATAACGTGGACATGTACTAGATGTATTGTATGAACATGTATAAAATTAAATATTTATTTGGTTCCATTTTTCATTATATTTAAATTTCAAAGAGAAATTCTAGAAAGAGTAAATATACTTATAAGAAGAACTAAAGAAAACTTAACGATTATCTATAAATGGTATAGTTTCGCTGACAACATTTTAGAGGTCAATAAACACTAGAAAAAAATGAAAATCGAAAAAAATTTCGTAAGAACGGGAATAAGCACATGGTAATATAATTGACGTATTATAAATAATTAGATGCATATTATAAACTTGTTTAAGTCAACTTATTTATAAATTAAATTAATTAAAATATTCCAAGAAACTTACTGCCGCTGTTTGATAATCAGTGTTTGTTAGTAATGATGTATTACCAAATATATTCACCGTACCTTTGGGATCTAATAATCTTACACCGTTTTGTTTACAATCCACGTAAAGTAATACTCTATCATAAAATACTCCAAAATGGATTTTATGCCAATTTCTATCAAATATCTGTTAAAAATAAAAACATCAATGTAACACATTTTTTAAATGTCGCAATCAACAATTATATTAAGTACATTAAATACTAATGATTTGATTTATATGTGTTTTATGACAATCTGTAGTCCAAATTAAAAATGATTTATATATTTTTGTACATTTCGATTTTTTTAAATTTTTTTTATTTATATCTAGATAGTCTAACCCAATGGTATCCACTACCACGGCATTTAATAAATTTTGTGAGGCCCTCGCTAAATCTAAATTTACATTCTAAATTTAAAATTAAATAGAATAAATAAAATAAAATACGTAATTCTTGGTTCGAAGTAACTTTATAGCACTTTGGCTGCCACATGGCCGTCGGCGACTCAAGTAATTTCAGATCGTGGTGAACCATAACATTTTTACATAATTTGTCGTAAATTATTACGTTTACAAAAATAGCTCTAATTGTCCGATTTTGATAAAATGTATACAGTTTTAATCAGTAAACCTTGTAAAATAATATGAAGTTAAGGGTCGCCGGCTGGCATGTGGCCTACCACAGTGACGTATTTGAGGTGGGTGGGGCGATGGAGGCTACCCAATGGCTTCACAATAAATAAAATCATTTGGATTGCCGACGGTCATGTGGCAGCCAACGAGATAGGCAATACATTTTATTAATCTTATTTATTTTATCGTTTCTACTTTTGTTGAACTTAATATTATTAAAAATATAATATTCTAATAAATTTAAAAATTTTTATGAACTATAAATTTTTATATTTTTTAATCTTTACCATTAAAAATGTAATGGAAAGGAGTTTAATGGAAGGAGTTTTCATAATGGCATAGCATATTTGGTTATGAACTAAACCAAATAGCGAGGATTTTAAGCAGTGATGTTCCCATCAATACTATTAAAAGTATACTACGTGTGTGTGTGTGTGTGTGTGTGTGTGTGTGTGTTTACTATATTAGACCTAAATACAGATCTAAATTAGCCGTATAGGTACACAATTAAATTCCCAATTTAGTGTAAGTAATTGGTTGTTTCAATATATAATAATTAGATTAACTTACATTAATTGCTTCAAACGTAACAGTTTGCAAATAACCTTCATAATTAACTATAGAGAACTCAATGATTTTTTTAACTTGGTTTAGTGTGATTTGCAAATTAATAATATTCTGATCATCAGTGATCGTAAGTAGGTACCATTGTGTCCTGTCCATCATTCTTGAACTAAAAGTAGCGATGAAAGAGAATTGCTGAGGAACGCCTAAAGGAAATACATCCCTGTTAACACAAATACAACTTGGTGTTATAACATACATTAATTTAATATTATGATAATTAACAATATGTCATGTAAAATAGAGCATTTTAATTTCGTAAATAATTCAATAATATACATACAAATGTATAATTATTAAGACTGGACATTAAAAAGTTGAAAATTAAAATTAAATTAAAACATTAAGTTAATATTAACTAAGTTAATTATTCGTTACTTTATTTTCGAACTAACTTTTAATGTAATAAGTTACTTTTTTAATGTACATAACGTGTTAACTTCAAGTAGTTTTATATAAAAATAAAAAAATTAAGTTACATTTTTAAATAAACTAATTTTTCAAATAATTTTGTTTATCTGAAAAATATTATTATAATATGTAGGTAAATGATATGTTCTTACATTGTTTACAAAAAAAATTAGTGGGAGTATATAAATAGATTTACTATACATAAATATATATATATATAAAATTAATATACCTTATATGTTGAAGTATTACTATAGGCGCAATTTGGGGGGGGGGTTTGCATATACCCTCATTTTCGAAATTAGCACCCCCAAATGTGTTTATGTTAATTTACATTTAAATACTCATTACTCATTATGTATAGAAAAACAATAGGTTTTGAGTTTTTTTTTATAAATATAAAAATGTTTATACAATACGAAAATATTTCGTAATACAAAAAAATACATAAAAAATATCTCTGCTATGAGTACTATATTAATAAAATAATACTAGTCCACTTGTATTTATAAAATTACTTTTTAATCGTAGAAATGGTATTTTTATTACCGATGAGAAAGTGAATATGAATAACATCTCGAACGTATTTTTAACATAATCTTTTATTAATGAACGTGTAAATTGTAATGTTTATATAGAATTTGTGTGCGAGATGCCATCCGGTAGACAATTCCCACCGATTATAATATGATATTAGTGATTATTATTTTATTAATTTTTTATCTATTAATTTTTAACTTAACGAAGTTAAAAAGATATATTGGTTAAATTTTAATTTAACTTACTTTAAAAAAAATCTTTAACTTGCCCAGCTTTGATAACTATAGCCAATACGTTTTTTCCTTGCAAGTTATGATTGGTATCATGCCAAATTTAAGACACACTTTTCAAAATTATTTTATGAAACAATCTACATTTATTTATTAATATAAGGCGTATGAAAATATATTAATTAACAAAAATTAATAAAATAATGGTACTTCAGATGGAAAAAATTGACAATTTTAAACATGGGGTGATGACATGGAACATCATTATTTAAAACCGACTCACATGTCAAAAATCAAAACATTAACTTATTAAGTATAATCTATAAATGATGATCTGTATAAAAAAAAATTCCATAAAATTATATTTACATGTCAAATAGTGTCCCTATATTTTTTATAGAGTGCGCTATCTATGGAATATAAAAAATTAAAATCAATAGGACGTTGAAAAAATCAATGTCTAAAAATGCAAATCCAGTCGGGCTAGGGATACAACTATAAATCTTGAAACCCAGTGTTAGACAGTCACCGGTTTTGGGAGAGAGGAGATGAAAATGGGCCATAACCACCAATGCAGACACTGTACAAATTGTATAATTATATTATAAAGAAATTAAAATTATATATTATATTACGTATATATTTTAATAAATGCAATATATTATATCGAGTGTACCTCGTGGGCATTGTTAAATACATCGTTTTTTCCACCCTGTAAGCCGTCTGCCAACGGTTGGATCCAGTTACTTTGGTTACGCTTCTTCTGTACGATTCTTCGACCGAGTCCAAACCGAATTTCCTAATAAAATCGATTATTTGCAAGTCGTCTTCGCCAGGCCGGAAGTCTCCGCACGGTTCATGCATTAAGGCTTGGTCTTTAATGGGCTTGCTGGTCCCCTCATCATAATCTGCAGCACAACATTTGTATGCAACATTACCGATTCTTTAATTGTTTCTACAACTATATCTATAGGAGCACGGGTTATTAATGATTTTAACATATATAACTATATAAACCTGTAACTACTGTCTTTGAAACTACTATTCTCAGAAACTACGCGACCGACTACATCGGTTTTTTTTTGTTTAATAGATAATTTTCCATGAACGATTTCTAGCTTTTTATTTTTTCAATATCTTATATAATAACAATATATACATAATAATTAACACGTCATTCCTCGCATATAAGATCACATTAATTTAAGAACCACTGGCTTTCTATGATAACCTATAGTACATAGATCTTAATAATAATGTTTATTTATATTGATTAAAAATAAAATGACAAAATGAAAAGAAAATCCAATATTGGCCGCTCAACGCGAGGTTAGGTGACCGAAATAACCGAAACTAATCGATGCGATCGAATGATATTAATCTTATCCCAAGTGCATAACCAAAAAGTAGAAAAAAAAATTAAAAATTGTGCGACGGTACAAGGTTACAAGTAGTCTTTGAAAAATAAAAGGTGAAAATTCTGAATGGCTAAAGGGCGGTAAAGGTATTTTAAGAATTCCATTTACAACAAGCGAGTACCCATTCAAATTCAACCACCTTCAATTTTCCATCAAGGTACGTTTTTTGATGACCATAAAAAATGCGAAAGGACAAACGTTGAAAATAACAGGCATTGATAACACAGATCCATTTTTCGCCCATGTATTGTCAATTGAACGTTGCATGCTTTCAAGTTAGCTCGGAAAATAATTTATGTACATATATACTTCTAATCAAAAAACGGAAAACATGGCTACTCAGAAATATTATAGTTTACTATTTTCATAAATTGTATCAACCTTATTTCAGTCTATAAAATATATGAAGCTATTATATTAATCTCATAAGATATTTTTTGTCCATATTTATTCCTTTAATATATTTATTTATTATCTAATATATTATAATTTAATAATTATCTTGTGTATAATTTAGTTTATATTGACAATCTTGTAATTGCGTAGTAAAAGTTTTTGAGTAATATCGATAAATTTTTGGACTTTTCTTATAATTGTTTTTTATTTTTTATTTCATTAAAAGTATCTTGAGAAATAATTCTTTAAGTCAAAACTCGAGGTAAACTGAATGAAATAGTTATTATTCAAACTTAAAAATACCATAGAGATAGATATATATCTAGGTTATCCCTTTTTTCTATTTTTACAACTAAATAATTATTTCATTTAACAATTTAACAATTCAATATAGTAACATAATTTTTTTGGGTTCCTACATAACATTTAAAAATTGTGTGTACCTATGTATTAAAAATTGGCCAATTTAATGATTTAATTTCTGAACATTGTCATAATATGACATTGGCCCTTCTTGTACCAAGTCAAAGAAACATGTTTCGAGTGATATATTCAACCAGGTCAATTCATGGTTTACAAAAACCAATATTTATTGACAAGAACGTATTTAATTAAATATTCAAGTTCAAGACACATAATTTGTTACCTACATAAATGTATTACTTATTAATCCATAATCTTTTTTGCGCGACTTTTACCAATTTCCAGTCGCGTTCTAGATTATTGTAAAAATATATTCAATATCTTATGTTACATGTTACGTAGTTAACTATGGATATTATTAGTTATTACCAACCTGCGAAATCTGTAGAATGTATTTTTGACGTATTATATTCTGCAATTCAATTAAAAACGAATTAGTATACAAACTTTTTGATTTAAATTTGTGTAATATCAAAATGTAAATCACATCCATACATTGCACTTTGTTTAGTTACAATTACCGATGATCGTTACTCTATTAGGTACATCGTTTTAACCTATTTTAGTGTCTTGACCTCAAAGTAGTTAAAAAATCAGTCACCTCACGACCCTTAGTAATAAATATTAATTTGAGTATAATTAAAATTATCGGTTTTACTAGTTACAAATATCTTAACACGTATGGGACAAATATCAACCAACATAGGGGTGCGCACCGTGGCGGCCGGGTGAGCCGCGGCCCCCTGCGGACTCTGTTTTTTTTTTCAATAAATGTATATCTATACTACAGAAGATAGCGAACATTTTTATATTTTTACATTTTACATGAATAAAGTAAAATCAGTTTTAAACTTAAAGTATAGAATTGATATCTATGAATAAATGAAATAAAGTTTTTTGTTATTAATCAGACTGATCAGAAATTTCATATAATATAAAAATTGCAGATAAAATCAAGATATGAAATTTTAATTGGTTAGAAAGGTAACTTTTTCTAAATTTGCAAGGGGCGCTAGCAAATCTTCATACGCCACTGGGTATACTTTCCGTAGGTACATTATAAGTGATTAATAATATCCGACCGACGCGACCCCCTGATTGAGAAACGATGCTCTAATAATGTATATTCTAGATCAGTGAATCTCAACCTTTTTGAGTTCGCGACCCCCCTATAATGTTACCAATATCTCTAACGACCCTTTTGTAATGTATGCATTGAAAAATTGTACAAACTGTTATGATTGTATTTATTTGTGCATACATTTTACAAAAAAAAAAGGTATATTATAAAAGTCGATTAGCGTAAATTAATAAAAAAAAAATAATAATAAAAATGATGTAAATTTTAATATTTTTTAAATTTAAATTACTCTTTTGCTGTTGTTGATTTTAAATAATTTTTTTTACATGATGTGACCCTAAAAAAAATGTTGGTGACCCCCAAAGGGATTACAACCCCACGGTTGAGAATCGCTGTTCTAGATCATGAACAGTTAAATTTATATACAAATCACATACTTGCAGAAACTTTTATTTTAGTTGGAAAAATAATCGCTGCAAACAAAATAATTTGTATCCATCTTGAATATTTTCTGAAATATAAAAATCTTATTTACAAATCCTTACAAGTATACATTTTATAATTTGTAAAATATATAAATTAGACTTTAATTATGTAATATATACGAATTCCATTAAAACGTGTCATTATCATGATATGTTTATTACCTCATATCCAAAGAGCATTATGTTAAATTTAGAAAGATTAGAGAACGTTGAGTTGTGCCAAATATAATATTATATCATTTAAAAAAAAAACTTGCATCTAACCATGTTTTTCGTCCTTTTTATATATATGTATATGATCTTCTATATGTTTATTTTGAAATTAAATACTTCTAAGGTACGTGTCTAATTCTGTTCGGTATACTATATCAGAATTCAAATATTCTACACAATATTACCTACGTTTGCGTATTGAGTAAAAAAAGAATAATTTAATATAAATTATCATTTATATTGGTGTATTCTATATGTTTTGTTGATGAATCGAGTAGTAATACATTTTATAAATCTTTAATGTCGTTTAAGTTAGATATACATTAGTTTGGTTTAAATAATCAACAACAAATCTAATATTCTAATATAAATAACACCTATGATTTCTTTTGAAAGAGAAAATAATTTATTCAATGTCTAAACATACTGTAATGTGATAGAATATATTATCACAAATATTCCTTTAAGAAATTAACCTTTCAATTATTCAAGAAGTTGTATTAATGATGAATATTTGTACCTCATTGTTTGATAATACAATTTGAATATTTTTATTATAATTGTTTTTTACTGAATATCGGTTTAATATTTCGATTTTAAGTATAACTAGTATTTATATTAGTATAAACATTTAAATTAAATAAATATAAATAACATATAATATAAATTTGGACTCAAGATTTAAGCTTACTTCCTTAATACAGTTTCACTATTAGTTGTATTGCCATACAAGGACAATGTAACTTGATATTCCACTTATTGTTACACATATAACTATCGATATTAACTATATTCAAATGAATAAATAAATATTTAATTTTTTTAATCCTCGATACTTAAAGACACTAAATTATATTATTGTAAGGTTGGCACAAAAAATTTTTTTTTATCTTGTTATTAATATTATAACCATTTATTTGGTTAATTTACTTTTATTAAAAGTTTTTTTTTCTTGAAATATATTTTAAATATTTAATATTTTTAAAACTCTGTTAAAATAAAATATTTATTTATAAGTAGAAATTAATTTTATTATTGTGAAGTTGATTATATAAGACTTACTCCTTTATGGGGATCATTTTGTAAGGTATAAAAACAAAAATAACTTCACTATGTTGTATGTTAATTTATATTAGAAGAATGAAACGTTAGAAAACACACGTTGGTGTCTTAACCACAACTGTGAGATGATTTAGCTGAATCTGGATAACATTAGGTCACTCAGAAGTGGGGATAGAAGGTTTTAAATTATATTGAATCCTTTTTTAATGTTTTTATCATTCATTTATTTTACGTATGTATACACACGCATACATATACATTTATTTATAAGTATATACATATAATGATTTTAGTAAGCGTTCAAGAATAGAATTATAAATACATACTAAGGAAACATTTGATAAACTATATTTTAATCCATAATTATTTTATATTTTTACTGTAGACCTTCAAATAGCTGTAATTGCAACTATTCTTAAAGAAGTAAAAACCAAAAATTAAATATTTAAAAATTACATAATATTATGTTAAATGAAATAAACAATTCATATATACTTTAAATTTAACATATTAATCAAATTAATTAATTAAATAAATTAAATTTTATTATTAAATTAGTTGACCACTATTTTATTTTTTAGATTTTAGACATAGTAAAAAAAAAATATAATAAAAATCATAATAATAATAATATAATAAATAAAACACAAATAGATTCAGATTTAATTTTATTTTTAATACAATAATATAAAACCCAGTGTTTGAAAGAAAAAATAAATATATTTAGTGAAATAAAGTTTGAATTAATCAAGAGGTTCTACATTCATTGGACGTGATGAAGATGGACGTTCCTCTCCATCGCGATCACAGTCTCCCATCAGTGTACTTAACAAATTACCTGAAAATTAACAGTGCAGTTGATATTATTAATATTCAATAATTCAAAAGAATTTTATAATAGAATTAATATAAGTAATTTTCAAAATTCTTTCAACTAAACTAATATTTTTTACAGTATCAAATAGTTAAAGTGCACTTTTTAACAAAACAATATTTTATACTCTTACATTTGTGCCAATAAATAAATATTAAAAACAAATAAAAAATATTATTTAATGGTTTATTTCTTAAGAGATTTATATGATTTTTATATACAGAGTGCGGCATAATGGACTTCTACATTTCCGGGCCAAAAAAAAAAAAATTATTAATAGAAAATATATAATAAGGATTTTTTAAAAAAAAAAATTATAACGTCCAAATTATGTCTTGATGAGCAATGCATATATGAAGTTGTTTTTGAAAATTTTTCATCACTCTAGATAGAATATAAACTAGAATCATAGCATTTATTGACAGATAGCCTCCTTTAGTTTTTTCATGGTTCTAGGTCGATGTTTGAAAAATTCAGATTTAAGGTAGCCTCATATAATATAGTTACATGGGTTCAAATCAGGGAAACAAGAAGGTCATATGACGTCTTCCCGTAAGGAGATCAGACGACCAGGAAACATTTCTTGCAAAATGGTATGAGAATAATAGGTCATATGAGTTGTAGCTTTATTTTGTTAAAACCTCAAGTTATTATTATTACCAAATTCTTCCATTTTCTAATATAAAGTTTTCTAACATCTTGCAGTACATGTCACAGTAATGATGACGCCACCTTCTTAAAATATATAAGGTTCCACAATGCTAACTTAAGATATAAAAAATCAAACTCATCAAACATTTAGATGATAGTGTTTAAAAAATAAGTGTAACCTTATTAATTAATTTATTAACCTTATTTTTACTTATTAATACTTTTAAGTATACTAAATTTACTAAATAATATTATTTTAATAAAGTTTTAAATCTATATATACATATAAATCTCGTGTCACAGTGTTTGTAACCATACTCCACTGAAACAACTTAACTGATTTTAATGAAATTTCATACATACATTTGGTAGGTCTGCCAATAGGTTCTTATCTATTTTTTAAACTCCTAAGTGCTATTGTTTAATACATCGTAGTTTAATTTAATATTTTTGACCAGATCGATAACTGCACAATTGAAAATTAATTATTAAACGATACTATTACAAAACCTATTAAAAACTATTTGAAAGCTATTAATTTTATTTTTGGTATTAAATGACAGGTATTGCATAAATATTAAACAACAAGATCACGCAACAGGTGCCAAAACAATCAAGAATGTTGTTCGAACGATTATTATGCATATCGGTGGATGATTAGATGCGATCAGGACAACGTAATCCTACGATGTTGTGAGCTTTGTCAACAATTTATGGTCGTCATGTACGTAAAGATAGAGAACGAACGATTACGATACTTGCAATTCAATCAAAATAAGCTGCGTGCAGAAGTTTCTCAAAACAATTGTTTAACATCGGTGATGGGAAAGTTATTACAGATAAAACGGGATGTATAGGATTACCGACCGATTTCTGCACAATCATTGATTCGCAAAATGTTCTCATCGACCAGATATTTCTCAATGTACACAAACAATACACAAATCATGAGTGGCTGGCAGAAATAGCAATTTTAGCAGAAAAAAAATGTGGACTTCAACGAATTGAATCACAAGATACATTTGTTACCAGGAGACTTGGTGTCATACAAATCTATTGATACAGTTTGCGATGCTACTAAATCTGTAAATTATCCAACAGTTTTTAAACTAATTGGATTTACCAGGCATGCCACCTTATAATTTACAACTGAAGGTTGGATCTCCAGTTATTTTACTTTATAATTTGAACCCACCACGGTTGTGCAACGGCAAACGATTAGTCATTGAAAAATTAATGGAAAATGTCATCGAAGCCATCATTTAAAATGGCAAATTCCGAGGTGAAAATATATTTTTACCGCAAATTCCTAATATACCTACAGATGTGCCAATACAATTTAAACGCCTTCAATTTCCAATTAGATTGACATTTTAAATGACTATCAATAAGTCTCAAGGCCAAACGATGTCTGTCTGTAGCTTAGATTTGAACACATCATGTGTTTCACGTAGACAATTATACATGGCGTGCTCTTAAACCACCCAGTTAGTTTGTATTGGCGAAAGATGGGATAGCAAAAAATATTGTACACTATGTTGCATTAAGGGATTGATATTGATTTTTCTAATATTGTCATAATTAGCAATACATATAATTTTAATAAATTATTAAAAAATAAATGTTTGATGTTTTTTTATTTTTATATGATATTTCATCACCATTCACAGCACTCCATACCTCTTCTACTTATATACCACATCCTTACATGCCTATATTAAATTAGTTATTTTTTTCTAGCAAAATATTCTCTAGAATTAATTTATATGACAAAACAATGTTTGTCGCATCAGCTAGTATAAATATATTTTAATGTCTAATATGATATAATTTAATATTTAAGCTAATCAATTAGTTTTTATCAGTATATTTTTAAGCGTACATAAGCAAAAATTAAGAATTTTAAATAATCTTTTTGGGTTCATATAAATATATTAAAACTGACACATATATATAGAGCAGTGGTTTTCAACCTTTTTAATAATGCGGCACACTTCATCTCCAACAAAATTTTCATAGCACACCAATCCATATATTATGTGAACCATATTTGATACATATATATGTATACTAATTACAGTCTACTCTATTAGAGGGTTATTTATTGTGAAATATATTAATACAATCGATAGATCGAGACGGCTGCGACGGGCATACTTACAATAAATAATATAAACATATATACGATTAGTTCGATCAGTTTTCATCTCGAATATCAATAATAAGCTGGTAAATACATACTTAAAAAACAATTTATAGATTTATCGTGGCACATTTAAAGGGCCCTCGTGGCACACCAATGTGCCGCGGCACACCGGTTGGGAAACACTGATATAGAGTAAAAACATTAATATGAAATATAAATAATAAATATTTATTTTTTTATGTATCTTATATATATATATATAAATCAGTTTTAATATATTTGTATGAACACAAAAAGATTATTTAAAATTCTTAACTTTTACTCATATACACTTAATATACCAATAAAAACCAAATAATCAGATTAAATATTAAAATTGGAATTTTTAAAATTCTTTATAGTCAGTATGGACAAAATTATGCTATTATGACATGTATAATTAAATTTTATAAATCTCACCTAAAAATCCATGTTGTTGTCTAGGTCTCCTTTCAATTGGTTTGACATTGAAAAATAATTGCCCAATTTTATCCAAATATTCAGTATAGCTTGGATCTCTAATCAAAGACGTTTGGTATTGCTCACAAAGTACTATATAAGTTTTTAACTGACCGCTAAAACATAAATGTCAAAATATAGGAAATAGGTTGATTACCAATGAACTATAAAATAAGAAATAAAATACCAACCTGTCTAATATTTTAAGTAAGAAACAAAGAAAATTGAGTAATGGCAATATGAATGGTGGTTCACCTTTGATAGCAGGATGTAATTTAGTATATGATTGAAACGTAGATTGCGCAATTATTTTGTTACGCACACACAACCCTCTAAAAATCAAATATATAAATAACTACTTCGATCTCCGATACAAATTGTAAATACTCACTGCAGTACGACTTGTGCTATAAATAAATCTACTTCATGTTTGAATCCTCTTGTTCTATGCAATTCTACTAACATGGCAGCAAATCCTAAGCCATCTGATGACCTTAAGTAATGGTATTGTGCTGATGTATAATTGAACTCTAAAAATGAATGGATTCTAAATAATTTCTTTATCATAAGACTAGACTGAAATTAATTACACATACCTGACCAGTAAACAAATCCTATATCTTTATGTAAACTTGGGTGACCGTGTGGGTATTCTGGACAAAATTCAATTGTCCATTGGACGATAGTGTTCAACATGGATTCTCGTTCGGTAGCATGTGATGGACCAAGTTTGCTGAATATTCTGATGTAAAATACTAGTTTATTTAATTTGTTATCAATAGAGGTAATAATGATATAAGCTTACTCTTTTACGAAATCAAATATATCATCGTTAGGAATGATGCGTTGTGTTGATAATGATTGTGCAAACATTTCTGATAAGGCGATAGCTAGATTATTCTGAAATGCACACAATGATTAAATAATAATTTATAAAGCTATATTTTAACTTAATAATTACTTGATGTTTATTCATTAGTACAACAATGCCTTCATGCAGAGTCCTGATTGCAGCCTCTTTGTTCTGTATGCCTATGTACCTGCAAGTAAAATGGACGGTACAAAAAAGGACAGTTGCATGTCAACACTACACAAGTAGGGTAAGCGATAAATCTGAATTAATAAGCTCCTACCTGGAATAGAGAGACATGTATAATTGATGAGCCATGTAATAATTCTCGTCCCTGATGGCATTGTTCAGGGTTCGGCGCACACGACTGATCAGTATGTTCGGATCCGTTCTGGTCGTCATTTCACCGTAACGTCAGTCGTATCAGTTCGCTTTGCGAGATGAGTGTGTAATGACGTCGACTACTAGAAGAAGCTCACTAGTAACAATGAATAACTCAATTAAACGGTATTCGGAGACTAGGCGATGTGTGGTGAAAACTAAGGGACCGCGGGGTTCGAGAATTATTATTCGTTACCTACCTGCTTACTTCCAATCGCAGTCCGTGCACTACGTACCCCTTCGTCGGCGTCCGGCCAGCACTATTAGACAGGATGAAGTGATACGGAACGTGTCCAACACTTGATGCAAATGCACCAATGTACTACAACGACCGTGATACTCCAAGCACCGACGATCACCAACTTCGGGTGCAATAACGTTTCGCTCGCGTGCGCGCGCGCGCGCGCACGCTTGAGTGTGCGTGTGTGTGTACGTGCGAGCGCGTGTGCGTCAAACGAGCACTGCAACATAGACGCGCACGGCACACGGGGCTCACGTTTATTGTTGTTGTTCGGCTGTCCGCTAAGTTACGGCCGCGAACAGTTCTACAGCATGAGTTTATCGACAGTGCACAGTGACCGTGTGTGGTGGTCGATGTCGTAGTATTAGGTAATAAACGCTCGTACGCAAGTGTAATACGTGCACTGATAACGCGGCCGCGTGATAACGCGACGACTGACGTATCGCAGTCTGGTGTTTATAATAACCCATATGTTACCTATTAAGTCTTACCGGAGGACAAGCACCGGCGCGCCGTCGCGGTACCCCACATAGATCAGGGGTGACAAATAAGTGGCACGCGTGCCAAGGTTGGCACGCGTGAGATTTTCGATGGCACTCGAAAGACTTTCATTTGTCCATTTATATTTATAGATTTTTAAGTAACGTACAACCATTGATTATAGAATAGAATCTATTCTATAATCAATGGTAAAACCAATTGAATGTTCAATTGCACATATTGAATAATATATATTTCACAAGGGCGTATTGATATCTTGTCTTTATTATTGTAAAATATAATTTATATATTGTGATTTAGAATATTTAAAATCAACAGTTATAATAACAGTTAAAGGTTTATTTACGCTTGTTTTCGTTTTAATATTATTATTGATGTTTAATTTCAAAATATTCTTTATTTCTTTATAATGTCGTCAACAATTTTTAATCGTCTAATTTTCGGTTTATCAGGCTTATCAAGCGTAACAACTGCACCACGGTCGTTCATCAGTTGTAAAAAGTCGAGTTCCAAACTATTAAGGTATAGCTTTATATATTTAGGAAACATTTTAAACTTCAATCCCATTTGAAGAATATCTGACGAATCAGTTTTATTCGAAAATGTATTATCATATTTTGTACATATGTTCGTTAAATGCACTAATATCATATGTTATCAGAAACAACTTTTTCCTTTGCTTTAAATGTTTGACTGTCTTTTAATTTTGACTACATATCTTGATCATGCAATTGAATTTCAACATTTTCAACTTGATTTCTGATGGAATATAGTATTATAATGTGAATTTAAAGTATCCGTATAATCATTTGTATTATCTTTATCTGTATATATAAAACAGTAAGCTGATTGACTGCTATCAACGCACAGCTCAAACCATTGGACGGATCTGGCTGAAATTTGGCATACAGATAGCTATTATGATGAAGACGTGCGCTAAGAAAGGATTTTTCGAAATTTTGAATTTAAAAGGTTGAAATCGGTTTAATATTTTTTGACGTGATTTTGTCGCCTAATAGATCAGTGAAGAACATTGTCTACAAAGAAGTTTTGTAGATAACATATTGAAAAACTATTAGTAAAACATTTATTTTGAACCTTTAGTGCTAAAATTTCTTAAAAGCTAAATTAATATGTATAAAATATTATTTCAAAAATCTTAATTAATTTAAATTTCAATAGATTTAACAAAATTTAATCTTGGCAGGTTACATACATTTATTTACTTAAACCCGGCAATGACGGATAATTCAGCTAGTTTGAAATAAAACCCAAATAGGTGAACTTGTTTTCTTGATGTCGGCAGTTTGGGAAAACAATGCATTTATGCATTATGAATATTCCTTGCTATGAGTTTTAAGTCGGGTGCAATTAAATCTCCTTCGTTAGCATAATTTGATACTTCTTTTCGTATTATTTTTGACGGTTTTTCAACTATAGAGTCTACAGCTTTTTTTTTGCAAGAATTACTAATTTGTTGCTGTTTTAAAGTGGCATCACTTGCATGAATGTGACCAAAACACAATTTATCTATATTAATTGGGCATTTTGACCCAAAGTATAAACTTTTGCACTACACTTATTTATAACACAACGCCATGTAATTTCATTTTTTTTGGATGTATGATGTTCAAAAAATTTAAAATCATTTAAAACTAGCAGTTCGTTGCCTTTTTCACTCAACATGAATGATACATTCTCGCTCATTTTGACTTTGAATAGGTAACTGTATATGATTAGTATAGACGGATATGTACGGACACACGGATGTTTCGAACAATACTAACAAAAATTTTAAGAAAAATAACTAGATGTACATTTTACTGCGTATAGTTATAAGTCATTTTAAGATTATCAAACCAAAATCAAGTTTATGGTGAAAAGTCGTAAATATGTCGAGTCGGGAATCGGGATACTATTATCAGCTTGTAGCTTGTCGTATTTTTTAGTGATTACGTTTTGCTTTAAATTAAGTATATTTGAATGTATAGTTGTATTAAATAGCTATACCACGCTATACCAGCGTATTAAGTTTCAATAACAAATCTAATTTTTATATACTTATTTGTGAAAATGCGTTATGCGATTTTTATTATATTGTATCATTATATTTATTATATATTTATTTGTATATACATATTTACACCTTTTTCCGCCGTGTAGGAACTTACATATGTACCTGGTTTTTACCATGTAGGAACTTACATAGGTACCTGATTTTTACGGTGTAGGAACTTACTATTCCTCGAATAAGAAACTCTGAAAATTTATCAAGCTTGACAGCTTCGAATGAAGCTTCGAAAAGTCAACTCCAAATGATCGGATTTCAATTCTGTAAAAAGATTTGAGTTGATCAACCTTTTTTTCTAGGTTATTGTCGTAGTCGATTTTAAAATCACTGTTTAACATTCTTAAAAAAAGACACTAAAGTAAATCTAAAAATTAAAAAAAAATTGAGAAACTCAAGTAAGATTTAAAGACAATTTTTAAACAAATATCAAAAATCGATTTCCACATTAACCTAGAAAAAAGGTGAATCCACTCAAATCTTTTTACAAAATGTAATTATGATGATTTTAAGTATGCGTAATCTTGTCAGGCTTTTAGGTCTACAATGTGAAATAAATACGCTGCTTCTAATTGCTTTAATTTTATATTTTTTTACATCAAATTTCTGATTCATATATTAATAAATTATTAATCGTCTTCTGATGTATAGTTCAACTAAATTAAAATCAAGATTAAAACAAAAAATTACAATTTTATTTGATCATTAGTAGTGGTAACATTGTACAGCTTAAAACAATTTGCTATTTGCATCTATATACACGTTATATACAATTTAATACAATATCATCGTATGAAGTGATCACTAAAAAACATTTTAGAAAATGTTAATTTTTCATTGTAATAACAATTAAAAATTACAATAAATTATTATAGTATTAATACTAAAAATGTAGAATATAAAAATAACTGGTTATAATTCTTCTCGTTTAAATTCATTGGAGTATTTAGCATCTTGCCTTACACATACTGAAGGTAATTCAAATTCCATTGAGTATTCGCAGTGATTAGGCTCGGTTACTGAAATAAGTTTAGGTTTTAAACCACAACTCAAGTGCACCTGTTATAATTAGATTATGTTATTAAAATAATTATAATATAGTTTATATATTTTTTATAATCAATGTATATTCATGTAACTAATAAGTTGTAAAATAGTATAATTTCTTTAAAACTTCATTTCATTTTTATTCATACATTAAAAGTATGAAAATACTTACAAAAGTAAACCTTTGATAATGATTTAAACAGTATTGTCCTTTATCATATAACATAGTATGATATTTTGGGTCATTATTGGAAAAATTGACCCAATCCTTCCAAACACCTAGGTTCACTTCAGAACCTCCTTTTACAGACCTTTGGGTTACCTAATAAGAATACAGTATACTTTAATATTACTAATTTAAAAATGTAATTAATTATTTCCATTACTTTTTCAAATAAACATAATTTGTATGTATATTCTTGATTAGTAAGTTCATAGCATTGCTCATATAAAGCAGCAAATTCATTTTCCAAACCATAATTGTTAATTAATGATTTTTGAAGATCAGATATTTTTCTCTGAATATCCTTAAGTTTTCTGTCAGCTTCTTCAAAGAGTTTGTGAGCTTCTTTTGACTCTAGAAACAAATTAGAAATAATTATATTTACATTATGAAAACAATAAATGCACTGATTAGTAATATATGTATTACAGTGACGTATACAAGGGGGGATTTGGTGGTCAAATCCCCTCTAGGTCTTTTTTTAAATGTTATAAAATAATGTTCTCAGTGTGAGGGCGTTAGAAACGTAAAAAAAAATAATGATATAATAAATATAATGTAAATAATATAACAATATATTATATAATGATAAAAACGATTTGTTTGTACATGAACCCTCCAATACAAAAGTTATGTATACGCCACTGATGTATTATAATAATCAAGTTTACATGTAAGAATTAAAATCAGGAGCGTCATTTGAGGTATGCAGGGTATGCCAGTGCATACCTAAAATTTCCAAACACTGTATTTTGGCCTGAATCCAATTTTTCTGCGCCGTATCAACAAATGGAATCCTGTGATCCTGATTTCAATTTTTCTATTACATATTATTACCTAATATGTAATAATCAATAATCAATTATAATCTTATATATTTTTCCACATATATTTTATTCTGGTTACGAAAGTGATAAAGATTTCTGTAGCCTGTTTTCTTCAACCAGTCATCCCCCCAACCACAAACAGCTGGTCGACAGCAGCAAGCTACAGCACTGTTAGGTATTCTCCATGGTAAACAAAGATAACCGACATTAATTTCATAAATAGATTCAATATTAGCATTATGCACAGAGTATACTCTGTGGCATTATTGTACCATGTAATAATGTGCTCTATGATATTATGATTGATAAAATTAGGATAACTAATAATAATCAAACCATCAAATCAAAAATAACATAATTTATCTAGTATACAGTACACATTAATATTTAGTGATTTAGTCAGCAGAGTCGTGTCAAACATTTCAGCGCCCCGGGGCAAAATTTTTTTTACGGGGCCACTGGGCACAGGTAGCATATTAAGTGCAGATAAGGGCGCCCCCTTACATTTAAAAAACTACGGCGCCCGGGGGCAATTGTCTCCTTTGACCCCCCCTTAACACGGCCCTGATCAGCAGTAAGTATTTTTTTGTTTTAATTACTTTATTTTAATTTAAATTCTGGTATAATCTATATCGGCCTGCTGAAATTTTTTTTTGGACTGCCTACTTTTTAGCATACCTTTCAAATGAAATTATTAAAATGTGTATTACATATGTACTGTTAATTTGTGCGGATGTGGTTTTCTTAGTGTGATAAAATAAGTATGATTGCGTATTGTCAAATATTGTCAGTAGCTACTCTAATTAATAGATTGTTACGGACATACATACGTAGGTTACGACTCTTACAGATATATACAATGTAGGTCATTGCATGGGAGCATCATATAATACAGCATGTAATATAATATATATATATCTTTATGAATATCCAGATTTACAGAGAAGACACATAAAACTAAGTGGTTGTTGCAAAAAGCCAAGACAACATAAAAAACATGCTATGTAAGGTGTTATAAAATTAGATAGTTGATACTGTCCAAAGGGGATATAGAATATTAACTATATCCGGGTCAATTATCCCATAAGAACGGGGTATATAAGGTAGTCCGAACAGACCACTATTTAGATGTGTTTTTATACTTGTTTAGCAAGCACCTCCACGCCAGACCGTTTGTTGAATTAATTAATTGTACTTAGAGAAATTTTAATAAAAGTCTAACTTAGTTTGAGCATTTTTTTTTTGAAATATCCCTAAATTGACACCATCTTTACGGTTGAAACAAGATTAAAACTATAAACTATAGTACATATTGAATAATTATCTATAATTTTTTAACAAAAACATATGTTATAAGCAGTGTTGGTCTGGCCCACTCAGATACCCGGAAATCGCCGAGGGCTCTGAGATATATTCTTAAAATTGGGGCCCAACCAGGGGCGGATCCAATATCATATAAATCAATAAGCCACTGCTGATTAGTGGTTTTATAAGTCTATCTAAAATCACTTTTAAAATTAAAATCTTTTAATCTTCCCTCAAATATAATTTTATAGGCATACTTTACATTAATGCTCGACAATAAATTTTTAACTACACTCTATAACATGACTTAAATAAATTATACACACAGTATACTTTTGATTATATGTTTCATATAACTATTAAAATTAATAATAAATTACCATGAATTATGATTTTGGTTTTTTCAGTAAATAATAGTTCTTTAACATTGACAGTTTCAACATTATATTCTTCCGTTTCATTATTGATATGATATTTATTATCTTGAATTAGATTATCTTTTTTGACTTCAAGTATAGATGGATGATGTTTTATCTCTTTAGGTGTTTTATACCTTAATAGTTTTAAACACTTCCAACCATTTGACATAAAATCATTTAGATCAAAAATTTTTTTACCCTCCATAAAATTCTATACAAATATTATCAACAGTGTTATAGACATATTTAGTTAAGTTCAATTTTTAAAAAGATTTTAAGACTTTAGTTTGACTTACGTTACTTTCATTTTGTGAGACGAAATCATCTTGATTTTGATCAACAATATTGTAAGCAATTAATTTGTCCACTTCAATTCTATATAAAGTATTTTTAAAACTTAACTAAATAAAATAACATATTTGATCCTCTAAAAACTTAAGATAAAATTTTATTGTACTTATTGTTTTTGTTAGAGTCTATTTCACTAAATATTTTAAATGCTTCATTTTGTTGTCTTAATTTTTCCTCTTCAATAGCTTTTTTTTTTTTTGCTTCAGCTTTTTCTTTATTTTTCATTGTATTACTTCTGATATATTGAGCATTTCTTTTTAAAGCAAGAAGTTGAAACATTTTATTCTTAATAACAAAACACAATATTGTTACTTTTATTTACCTATATATAATTTTATTAAGTCAGTTTTGAAATTTTAAATATATTATATATATTATTAATATTAAAGTATAAAGGATCTTACTCCTTATTTAGTTATAAGTTTATATAATCCATTTTTGACAGTGGAAGTTGAAACTTTTAAAACACCATAAAGAAGAATTATGCAGTACATTTTTTATTTAATATACAAGATATCTTATTATGATCTTACATAAACATTGTGTTCATCATTTTGGTTTTCATAATTATTTATATCAGTGGTGCAACTAGTGGTGGGGTTTAGGGGTTGTGACCTCCCAAAATTTTTCTGAGGTTTTTACAAATTCTACGTATAAAAAAAATGGTTTACCTTGAAGACGCGAAATGGCTGATTGATATGAAATATGAATATTATAATTGATAAAAATAATAACATGACAATATGGAACGTTCAAAAATTCAACGTTCTGTTCAACTTTAAAACATCAATGACTTTGCTATTACGATTTCTCAATAGTCGATTGTATAATACTTTTTTTTGTGGTATCACAATATGAAATAGAAGTTAAACAGTTTAATTTGTAATTTAAATATTTTGCTCATAAACCTAATTTAATCTTACTTCCTTATCCCTACCAAAAATCTGCAGAAAATGCTGATTTTTTTCTAAATTCACAACCCCCCACCAGAAAACCAATCCTGGTTGCGCCACTGATTTATATTATTTATGATGTATAAGTTTTCAAAAACTATAATACCTATCCAACAAACTAAATTATTTGTTGTTGATTTTTTGTTATAAATTTCATACTTAAAACTGCAGTAGTAGCACACTCAAGTCTATTCTTAGAAGGCAGTTTGAATAATTATAATTGTATTGTATATAATTTTCAAATAAAAACATATTATTTGACAAGTGAAAAGATATAATTTACTCTTTTTTGGGAGAACTTATTTTCTAATTGTTACAATACACATGTAGAATATAAACATATGCAAAAATTAAACACTTACTTTTTTTTGTTTTAGAAGATATATGCCTTTAGTAACTAGTTTTGCTCTTATTTTAAACCCAATTGCATATAAATTGTCTACTCTATTAGCTTCTATTTTAGTTGCATGATTCAATTCTTCACAAGAACTGTAACACCTCCCTTTTTGTACATTATTAGTCCATTCATCTGAACCATCACAACAATCTAAAAAATAGTATTAAATTAATCATAATTAATAGATGTCTTAATATAATTAATGATAAACTGTATACCACATATCCCATCATTTACACGTGATGATGGTATAATAAAAGGTAGACTTCCTTTATTTGTACAGTAAAATGTACCATTAGGACATGCTGAAGTACTTGGTTCGTCACTTGCATCAAAACAATCACAATAATCATCATTAATATATGAATACGGAATGGTAAGTGAACCATCTAAACATGTAAAACGTTTTCCAGGTGCATAAAACTTTGCATCTAAACCCCAATGAAATGAGTAACTATATACATATTTTATTCTTGTATTAGTAATATAGATATATAACGTTTTGATCAAATGTCATGTCAGTTTTAATAAAAATGTATTGATAGATTATTTTTGTTTCTACAGATTTATAGTAATATTAAAACAATATTTAATGGTAATACTAAAATATTAAAAAGTTTAAATAAATAAACAACATATGCATCAACATTTAGCAAATAGTTCATGGAACAGAATGATTTAAAATATATTATTTCAAAATTATAATAAATGTATCAAGGGAAAAATTAACATAAGCATATACTTGCTAATCAGGAAATATTTGTAAAAATGTTCGATTTTGGTTTTACATTATACAGAATACATTACAGATAATAGTAAACTAAATTAATTTAAAAATCTGTTACAAAATAGAACTTACTTTCTATTGATATGCCTTTAATATTAACAATCTCTAAGTTTTCTACAAAACATTTCGTCGAAATTATTACATAAAATAAAAAAATCGTACAAATAACTACATGACATGCTTCCATTTCTATTTCATTTAAAATTTGAACAAAATATTCAAAGAATTTAATAATTAGTTCAACGAATTGGTAGCATTCGTTTTACTGATAAGGTTAAAAAATACATATTATGATAACAATCATGTATTGGCATGTTTCTAAGGTGTTTATTCTCTTTTCTAATGTACAGAAATACAGACTAAAAATCCTAAAGGTTCTACGATTTAACCTCTAGATGTCATAGAATAGACCAAACTACCTATGTCTAATTTTGATGTTGGATGTTCATGGTTCCCAGACAATCGACTTCAGAGGTCAGTTAGATGTAAAAAAACATTTTTTACACTTAAATATATTTTAAACTGTTTGGGTCAATCAAAATTAGAAACATTCTTATTGATGTTTGTTAAAAAAGATATTCTAGAGCTTGTAAACTTTTCTAATGTAATCTTTTGACATAATATTTGACTTAACTGTCAATCGTTTGACAGTTGGCGCGATTGATAGAATGCGCTTTGCAAATTTCAATCAGACGGATGAAATCTATCTATCTATCTATACTATTATAAAATTGTAAGGGTTATTCTTAGACCGCGCTAATCGAGAAAACTACTAAACCGATTTGGCTGAAATTTTTTTTGGCTGAAACCCGACACTCTGCTGAAGGTTTTAGTACCACTTTTGTCAGTAAAAAAGTTCATAAAAGTTCATAAAAAATTAAAAACAATTGTACCTATATTGTGCGTATATCAATACGAGATTGATTATTTAAATATTAAAGCGCTTCAAATTGGACGAATGACTATATTATGTCCTAAGTGCCATGCAAAAAAAATGGAAAGATGAAACCCATAGACTTTGCTGCGCTGACGGTAAAGTTGTTTTACACCAATTTGAGGATCTTCCAGACCTAATTAAAAGTTTAATTGATAATTCTCACCATCTATCAAAACATTTCTTTGATAATTCTAGACGGTATAATACTCTGTTTCAAATTACATAATTTGGAGCAAACGAAATAGCTGAAGGGAACTTCATGCCCTTTTTTAAAATTCAGGGTCAAGTGCATCATTTAATAGGTAGTTTATTACCCGAAATTGGAAATAATGCTAAATTTTTACAAATGTATTTTATGTCAGAATCGGATCAAATATCTATTCGAACAAATATAATTCCAAATTTAAAAAGAGGTCTCATTGAATCATTGCAAACAGTTTTGCGTGAAAATAATCACCTCATACACAGCTTCAGATCTAATCTGGAGTCGAGGTCTTTTGATGAGTGGCAAAACTTTAAGTTAATTATTCATGCTGACAGAGTTCCTCAAGATGAACACAGAGGTCAATATAATGCACCTACCATCGATGAAGTAGCTGTATTATTAGTTAATGAAGATAAAGGTCCCAGAGATATAGTTCTGCACGGTCGGAGTGGACACTTGAGTCGAGTTTCCGAATTGAATAGATCTTATGATGCACTGCAATGTCTATTGATGTATACTAGAGGCGAAGACGGTTATCACATTAATATTTTACAGAAAAATAACCAAAATCGAACAAAAACTGTCTCCTGCATGCAATTTTATTCTTATAGGTTTATGGTTAGAGAAACAAGTCTAAATCATCTACATTATTACAAAACATTATTCAGCCAATTCGCCGTAGATATAATGGCAAAAATGATTTCTGAAAGACTACACTTTATTCGTAACCATCAAAAATAACTACGTGCGGATGATTATGTTCACCTCCGAGATGCTGTTAACAATGATGCAAATATTAATGCTAATAACGTGGGGCAACAAGTAATTCTTCCCTCCTCTTATACTGGCTCCCCACGTTACATGTATGAAAAAAATCAGGATGTCATGACTTATGTTCGTAAATTTGGCCGTCCAGATTTATTTATTACTTTCACATGCAACCCGGAATGGCCGGAAATAAAAAATGAATTATTTCAGGACCAAAAATCATTGGATAGACACGATATAATCTCTAGAGTTTTTCATCTCAAACTAAAAAAGTTTATGCATGTATTAAAAAATAAATATATTTTCGGAGATGTAAATTGTTATGTTTATGGTACACTGTTGAATGGCAAAAACGAGGTTTGCCACACTGCCACATTCTTTTGTGGTTACAAACGAAAATTCAGCCAGATGATATTGATAAAATTATTTCTGCCAAGATACCAAACAAAGACAGAGATCCTATACTTTATGAAATAGTATGCAAGAATATGATTCATGGCCCATTCGGCGAGTAAATATTAGATCGCCATGTATGAATAATGGAAAATGTACTAAGAAATACCCTCACAAATTGGTCAAGCATACTCAAACTGGAGATGATGGTTATCCGACTTACCGACGGAGATCACCAAATGATGGAGGTTATACTGCAATATTAAAAGTTCGTGGTCAAACAGAAATCGTGGTTAACAACCGCTGGGTTGTACCGTATTGTCCAGTGCTCAGATAGAGCTACTTTTTCTGTTAATCATGGAAACGATGAGATTATAAATTATTTGAATGGTCGATACATATGTACTTCTAAAGCGTTCTGGAGAATTTTCAATTTTGAAATCCATGATAGAGATCCGACAGTTCAGCACTTGGCTGTTCATCTAGAAAATGGACAGCGTGTTTTCTTTAATGCTAATAATCTTCATCAAGTTATTGAAAATCCAAGAAAAACGACACTAACTGCATTTTTTGAACTGTGTTCACATGATGATTTTGCGAAAACACTGTTCTTTCATGAAGTTCCTTCTTATTATACCTGGGATGATAGCAAAGGCTGGTTAAAGATAAGACGGGGAAAAGATGTTCCAGGTTGGCCAGGAATAAAAATGGACACTACCATTGGTAGAATTTACACGATTCACCCAAATCAAAGTGAGTGCTTCCATTTAATATTGTTACTAAATTATGTACAAGGTCCTACTTCATTTGAAAGCTTGAAGGCCTTTGATGGAGTCATTCACGCGACTTTTAAAGCTACCTGTTTTGCTCTTGGGCTTTTAGAAAATGACGAGCAATGGAATAATGCTCTAGCGGATGCAACTCTTTCAGAAAGTTCTTCAAAATTAAGAGAATTATTCGCAATAATCATAGTTTTCTGCCAACCATCTGAACCTCAATCTTTGTGGGAACAGTTCAGAAATGATTTTTGTGAAGATATTCTTCATACAGAGCGCACTCGATTAAATGACTTGCAATTTACTTTTTCTGATGAAATATTTAATAGAGGATTGATTGAAATAGAAGATAAAGTTGTTTGTCTGTCTGAAAAATATTTAACTGAATTGGGAATGAACTCACCTGTTCGAAATGAAAATGCATCTGATCCTTTTGAATTCTCAATTTTGCGTTCTTACGATAATAACCGATTACAAGAATTTGTAGAATAATCTACCTCATAATAACCTCCGCATAAGCTAAAATTAAAAATTGGTGATCCAATTACATTATTACGTAATCTTCAACCACCGAACTTATGTAACGGTACAAGATTTCAAATAAAATCGTTGCGAAATAATAATATAGAAGCTGTAATTCTTACAGGGCCAGCGAAAGGAGAAATTGCATTTATTCCAAGAATTCCCATGATTCCCTCTGAATTGCCGTTTTCTTTCAAACGGCTTCAATTCCCGGTTAAAGTTTCTTTTGCCATTACCATAAACAAAGCGCAAGGTCAAACATTCAAGTACGTTGGCGTAGATCTTCGTACAGAGTGCTTTTCACATGGGCATATATACGTGGTATTTTCTCGAACTGGGGACCCGAATCATCTTATGTTTTTATTTCAACAGGAAATATAACAAAAAACATCATATACTCAGAAGTATTATAAAATTCTTATTTTAATTTTTTTTCTTTTTTTTTTCTTCATCAACTTTAATAAAATTCTTTATTAACCATAAATTATTTCTTTTTTATCATTCATAACGCTAGAAAAATTTCAATTTGTTTTCATTAACCGTTTTTTTATATTTACTTAGTAATATGGAGGTGGTATAATAAAGATAGGTTACGTAAATGATTGGGCGGTAGCGGTTGAGGCTGTTCGCCGTCAGAGGTATAGGTTATTGCTGAGGTTGAGGGTGGTCTATAGGTGTGATGGCGGTGGCTGAGGGTGTTGAGTACTGCAGGTGGACTGAGGGTAAGGGTGGCCCAGAAGCCCCTATTTATGTCTTGTTTTATCGGGCGTCACCCAATTGCGGCCCAAAGTAACCTTTTTACCTTTTCACCTATCCCGATTGGTTATCAAAACCAAATAAATATCCCAATTGCGTCCGATACGTATTTTGACATCGTAATCAACTATCATAATCACGATTCACACGATAACCAATATTCGGCGTGGTAATTTCCATATATGTATACAACAACTATTAACTATTTTTTTATTGTAGACAATTTATTATTTTAATATTCGACTATTTATTGACTATTTACTGACATAATTGTATTTCATATCTTTTTATATTGTAAAAAATTTATTATTTTACTATTTTACTATTTGTTACTGCAATCTTATAATCATACTTTTAAAATAAATATTAAACATTTTGTGAACCAATGTTTGTCTGGACGCAATCGGGATACTTGTGTTTGGGATAAAATACGACTACCTGGATTCGGGCCGCAATCGGGCAACTCCGGTTTTATCATCTAGTCCTCATTCACCTCTATGATACTTTCTCTCACTTGTAGTCCCCGCGCAAATCTAAGATGGGACAAACCGTCTAAGTTTTGTTTCGGACTCCACTATTTGACAAAATTTTACACCGGCTGTCAATTTGACATATTTAACCCATTTAGTCGCCTCTTACGACCGGCTAAGGAACCGTGAAAGTATTCTGATTAGAATTATTATTTGTTATTCTAATTATATATAATTATCTAATTAATTATCTAATTATATCAGTTATATTTATTATTCTAATTAGCCCCTTCTACAGGGGTTTTTCAACATAGATAATAATGGCGCATGCGCATAATCAGCGGTGCATTCCTGTATTTAAACGTTCCTCATAGATAACGCGAACGGAAGGCACATATTAGTTATCACATTTCTCTAATAATTAACATTGTTCAAAAAAATTTAATAATATTTTTATTTCAATTGACATTAATATTTATTTTGTTATTACTTAATTAACACTTGGTACACTATACGAGACTATTGCGCCTTGTTCTTTTACTGGTAATATTTCTCTTACTTATCTTCGTCGTTTAAATGTATTGAAATTTACCACGAGCGGTGTCATGTTGTTTCACGTTGCGCTGTGAACCGTGTGATGAAACCCACTCGTTAACGGGCATTCGATTATTTTTGTAGCAGTAAGCCTTTCCTCTATACGTCTGTGTACGATAACTGACGGGATGATTCTGTTCATATGTGAACAACAGTGATGTCATTGTTGTCAGTAGTAACTCGTTTAATGTGTTTTTCCGAATTCGAGTGATTAAAGGGCTCAGGTGAAGTTATAGAAAAAAGATTAAAATTGGGTGAAGTACTCTGAAAACGGAATTGACTTCAATCCTCTGAATAATGAAACGTTTGTCGAAGAAGCTGTGCCTGTATTTCATACTAGCGTTTTTAGTTGTCTGCTTAATCAATGTTTTAACGTCGAAATACAACAAGGAAAATGATTTAAAAAGCTACGATGGTAAGTCCATACATTTTTCGTTGGCTACATTGGTTTCACTTAAATATTATTTTATCTTTTTCTTCCAGAAATGTTCAATACCTTTTATAACTACTCCAAAGGTAAGGAATTTAATCATTCATTAATTATATAGATACCTACTATATTTTTATGACTATACATTTGTGATTTATATAGAACTTAGATACTTACATGTTAATTCTTGTAATATTAGAATTTTTTACATGACTTAATAATTAGAGGGTAAAGAACCAATAAGTGTCTATTGTGTATTCCTTGTTGGTCTGTAGCTAATATTATTTTCTTTCTATCTTATTTTACGTACAGTTTATTTATTGTTTATTAGTAAATTTGAGACTTTAGTTAATAATCAATTTATAAAATAATTATTCATGGAATGAAATTATTGTTTGTGAAAGAAGTCCTTGTAAAAATAAATGAAGAGCTAAAATATAGAGAAAATAGTTCTCTAAGTAAAATTATTGAGCATTAGTTGAAGTAAAATACAAATTACTACTCGGAGTATTGTTAATTGTTAATTGGAGTTAAGTTCTTAGGATCGGTATAAAGAAATGGTGATTTTGAGAAGAATGTAAAGAAAAAGTAGGAAAAAAAAGTATGGATGGATAAAGTGGAAAGAAATATCAGAAATAATGTGTGATAAAATTAAAAAGTAGATTTTATTAGACAGTAAAGACCAGAAATGTTGGATTTGTTGGAAATTATATAATTTAAAAAATGGAATTTAAAAAATAATATATTAAAATAGTTAAAAGAACTGTCCATATTTTTGATTTTTTAAAGTGAATGTGTTCCAGAAAAATTACAATATAAATTACATTTTGTAAATAAATATATTTTTTCATGAAAAAATTATTTAAAATATGCCATTCAAATTTGCCAATATATGCATTCTAAACAAAGTAATCTGCAAAATATATACAAAGAAGCAAATAAATTATCATGATCAAACTACCATTCTGAAACTCTTGGTAGTATTGAATCTATATTATCTTCTGTTAAAAATAAATATTACTAAAATTACTCTTTTTAATTTTACTGTAGAGTCATAAATAGGGCTGGGATTTTAATGTCCTTAATAATAACAAAAAATGATCTTAAAAAAATGCAAAAATGACTTAAAAAACTCAAAAAATGCATTAGAAAATGCCTTTAAAATTTAAAAAAATTACATTGCATGTACATAAGTATTTTATTTTACTTCATATATTAATAAATTAAAAATTTTTCTTTATTGTTACAGTAAATCACGAGAGCGTGCCTCATGTTGTTCCCCAATAAGTTATTGTAAATATATATATTTTTTTCTTGTTCTTCAATTTGTTCTCTTAGTTGTACTCCATTAACATGTTTGTTTTTTGATATATGTTGTTGTATGGTAAAATGTTTTTCAACAGCAACTTTTACATTGCATACCTCACACAACAACACTAATCCATCGGTAGAAAAAATCTATAATCTACAATTTTAAATTAAAACACACCAAAAATGACTTAAAAACCCTTAAAATACCCTAAAAATTTCAAAAAATGACCTTAAAATCAAAAAATTTCAAAAAATGCAAAATAAAATTTCTTATTCTAATTTAAAAATATCTAAAACATATTTGTAACAACAAGCATTGTACAGAAAGCTTCAGAAAAAATGCACAGTGCAACGAAATCCCAGTCCTAGTCATAAATATACATTTAAAATTCATAATTAAATATTTTGACTCAAGCGTAACTTATACATTAAAAAAATGTATGAAAACTAAAGTCCGTCTGGCCGTTATTACCGGATGATTTCTTCCATTTTTTTTTTTTTTTAAACGAAAGGTATTTAGACACTGATTAGGTTACATATCATGTTATCAATCATTGAAATTTACTCAACTCCCACCTTATTCAAGTTATACTCAAACGCGATTCTTCCCTGTACATTTTTTATGAGACACATTAATTCAAGCAATTTAAATTCTCATAGCTCCTCTTTTAATGAATGGCTCTTGATTGTTTGACTCTCAGAACACTCGGTGAATCAAGCTCTTTTTTTTGAGCTATTAACTGCTTAAATTCGTTGAGTTTGAAAAAAGTTATGTGTGCACAATCAACTTTACTCTCAATTTTTTCCAAATACTGCATTCTCATTGGCTCTTACCAGTTAGTTTAATAAACATTCTTTCATTTCGATATGTCTTTCAATTTTCAATATTATACTCATTTATTGATTTGTTAAAATGTGTTTATATATTGATTTGATTGCACATGTACTTTTTATTATATAAATAAATTATCTATTGCGAATTTTCTAGTTATATTTTAATTTTATCTGAGTTTTAGTTATAATTCATGAATTATACATGAATGTTTGTAAAAACCAGATATAAAATAATGTTTTTAGTATTTTAACTACTTATTATTTTTAGTACTAGATATGATAAATATATAATATACATAATACATTTTTTGTTATAGATAGTGGTTTGAATGGTCCAAAAGTATCTATGGATGACCCTAATCTTATACGAAAATTACGAGATCATTTTCTCGTTAAACCTGCTGAAGAAAGCAAAGGTAGAAGAATACGTTATAATCTATCAGACAGGTCATTAATTGATCCATCAATGGGACAAGCTATGGAAATAGCAAAAATTATTGATTATACAGTAATGAACTACTTAGAATTTTTTTTTAAATGTAATCATTAATTTATTTTAATTTTAGAAAGGAGGGTTTTTTATTGAATGTGGAGCTTTGGATGGTGAAACTAGATCTAATACATTATATTTTGAACGGTATTATGGTTGGACAGGGCTACTTATTGAAGCTGATCCTTTAAATTTCATTAAAATGTTAAAAAAAGGACGAAGAGCTTATTTATCACCATCTTGTCTTAGTGTTAATCCTTATCCTGAAATAGTAAGTTTATTATTTGAATTTAAGGCGGTATTATTATATTTTTCAGTATAGAAAAAATTAATTTTGATTTTTAATTTTAAGGTATCATTTCTTCAACGAAGTAATATGGGTCGTATAGCAAATGATGAAGTTGTTGAAGACGAAGTTATATCAAATGATATTGAAAAAAAAACATCTCCTGTTGTAAATGTTCAATGTTTTCCACTCTATACATATCTCCTAGCGTTAAATGTAACTGTAATCGATTATTTCAGCTTAGATGTCGAAGGATCCGAATTAAATGTAATAAAAACTATTCCATTTGACAAAATTGATATTAAAGTAAGTTTAGTTGTTATATGTGTCTTATTAATAGATTATGGTATAATGATGGACTAGAAATGGTCGAGTAATAACTGAGGAATAATAAAAAATGGGATTTCTGTATTTTAAGTTATTATTTTTTTAAATAATTTTCTTTTGTTGATAATATTTTGAATATTATTATTATTATTATTCATATAATCTGTGGTATTATGTTGATAACATTTGTTTATTTTGATCCTCTATGTCTTTTTATGTCTAAAAAAAACAAATCTAACAAACTTAATATGTTCATTGCCAGTTAATTCTATTTAGTAATGATTATTGTAATAAATTATTATTCATTTTTATTAAATATATTTTCAGACTTTATCAGTGGAATTTTTTCATGTTAAAGAAGGTGATGATGGAGTAAGAGCATACTTAGAAGAAAAAGGATACATAGTTACAGCAAAAGTAACTAGACAAGATCGTTTAGCAAATGATTATATATTTGCTAAGCCATCAGTGCTTACAAAAAATGTATCTTTCTATATTACTTAATATCAAGGTCTATAATTTTAAAGGTGTAAGTTAATATTTAACAGACTGAAGTGATAAATTGACTTTATATTATCAACTAATACTTGATTAATATCAAGTATTTTAATGATATTTTTAGATTGTATTAGATATGTTTGAATTTTTTAACAGTCTTTATGTTAAAAAATATTTGTTATGCTGTTTTAAATTGTAAATTGATTTTTAAAAAGTATCTTACCAAATGCTATTTTTTGATTTACTTAATAATTTATTATATTTATCGGTTCAATTAATTATAACTTTAATGTATCACATTGGTATTTTAAAAAATATGGCAAAAAGTATGATTGTTTAATTGAAAATATTTTTATTTAAATTATGATACCTAAAATAAAAATGAATTGAAGTATGTTTTTGGATCCATTTTAACAATTTTTTTAATAAATTAAAATTGTTTAACTTCATTGAGAACTAAATCTGTTTAATAATCTTATTTAACTGATATCTTTTTATACTTATTAAATTATATAATTTTCATTAAGATAGTTTGAATATGTATTTAAATTAATTCCTGGAATAGTTAGTCATTTATTTTTTTTTTTTTTACTTAAAATAATAATAGAATTAAACTTTCAATGTTACTTTTATGATAATTTGGAAAAATTTGATAAAGTCCAAATATATTAAAAATATATAGGTATAATTAAATCCTAATCAACTAATGTGAAGATATTTGCTTATAATTAAGTAAAGCCATATAAATATATTTTCTAATAGTTTTAATGATACAGTCTGAATTTTAATGATTTTCTGAGAATTCTAATTTTCTATGAAAAATAATTTTAATAGTTATATTCATCTTGACAGATAATTTTTTGTTTTACAAAAACTGATGATTAGAATAATCTTTCAAACAATTTTTTTAATTGGTAATTTTATTACTGTACATTTTTTCTGTAGAAATTCTTTTGTCTTTTTTTAATCCTTTATTTTTCTGTTTTTCTTGTTATTGAGGCGATATCTTGACAACTAAATTTTCTGATATTTAGAAATTATATTCTGTTATACTTATTTACATTTAAAGAGCAATTCTATTTAGACAATTTTGTAGTGGCCCATGAATTGGAAAACGCTGGTATATTCAATATAAAATTTTCAAATCAATGTATCTTGTACGTGTTAATAAATTGTATATTTAAAAAGCATTGAATTTTTTTTAAATCTAGTCACAGTGTATTAATATGTATTCATATTTTAATAATTTTTTTAATTTAATTTTTCAAATATAGAAATAGAAATATATGAAAAAAAAATATATTTTTTTTTGCACCATTGTAAAATAATAAAATAATTTAGTATAAATTATGAAGTAAGTTACTGAATTTATATGGTTAATATACCATTGCCGATAGGATATTATTTTAATACTGGAATTATGATGAATCAATCAAAATATATTATCAAAGAGTGATTAAAATATTTATATGATATTTGAATAGAATGGACAAAAAAAGTTTTATCTTATATTGAAGAATATGTTTTCTTTTTCAAACATTTTATTTTGTACAGAACATTGTTTATTATTTATACTGAATCATTTCTATGTGTAATTAATTTGTTTTCTAAAAGTTATATAAATGCTTTTAAGTTACATTTTTCAACTTGATACTATCTTTGTAAATAAATTTAAAAATGAATTAAATTTAAATTAATAACTTAATTTTATTAATTCTAATTATTTTTAGAATCTAAATATGTATACCTTTTTCTTTTAAACATTATACTAACACATCTATTTTGTAATATTTTTTTTTATGTTGATATGCTAGTTTTTGTTTGTTTAATTAAATTCTTGCTCAAAATACGTTCAATATGTCAGCCTATTTTTTCATAAAAATTAGTTTTTAGTATTATTCAACACGGATCAAATTTCATTGAAAGTAGTCTCGTATTGCCATTAGTTATAATTGTATACTGCAAACTATTTTTATTATTATAGTATTGAAAATCATGTATGAATTGTTATTTATTTTTATCATAATATTTTAAATAATTAAATAAATTATTGTTTTTTATTATTTAATAAATCATTATCATAAATATGGAAATAATTTGATGAATTATAATTGAATAATATATGATTAAATAATATTCCTAAAGAACATTTTATGAATATTTTATGTATAACATGTTTTTATTTTTGTTTAAGCAAATGCAGAAATCTTTGGTCAGAGAATAATAACATTTACGACTTTAAGAAGTTTGGTAATCTGTAGCACTACTTTTCCTCACAAGAACATCCATAAATATACATAGAAGATCAGACGGACGGACTAGGAATCAAAACGTCTGCCGGCGTTAAATGCGTTAGATATTCGTCATTTGGTTGGGATAACACAGATATGTGCTCTTCAATTTTGTTAATTGTGCGACTCTTATCTCCGGTTTTAGTCTCATTTTTTTTCCATTAAAATATATTGCTGTTGCAGTGTTGGTCTGAAGAGCCATTGACGCTTCTTCCCATTTTTCAGTTCTTATCTTTGATCTCTGTCTATTAAGTTTACTTTTATCAGCAAGCAAACTGGATTCCAGTTTGGTTTTTTTATCACTATCAATGACCAGTTTATAATCCTACAGAGCTCCAGATATAATTGCTGTTGCTGCGCCGTTGGACACTCCAAATCGATCGGCTGCTACAGATGAGTTTTTAAGTTTTATGCAACTATAGTAACTCGAATCCAATGATAATGAGCGTTTTTGTAGAAGCCATTTGTCCGTTTTACTATCCGAATCTTGACCTGATTCCGATTCAGGAGCAAAAATTGATGTAGATTCATCTTGAATATTTTGAATAGTTTGTAGACTTTTTGACCATGCCATCCGTTTAATTATACGCTCCTCTTTTTCTCTCATTTTTTTTTTTTTGTTTCTTTTCGATCAACTCCTCCGATTCCTATTTTACGAACTGTTTGTTGATCTTCCATAAATTTTAATTCAAGATACGGAATCTTCTTGAAAGTTGGACACTTGCAAAATTTCGGTTCAGAGCACTTACATGCAGCGATATCAAATAACTTATGCCCCATTTCAAGTAATGCTATTTTACTTTTATCCTTGGTGATATCCTCAGTTGCATGGGCTTTAGATTTGAAACTTTTCTTAGTATTTTTATACTTTTAGTAAAACGTAGAAAATATTGATTCAACATGTTAAACGGACACTGTAGGAATCGAAACTTTAGCCCATACTTCAACTATGTTTTTAATAATTTTTCCGCGGATCACCTTCATTGGAGGGCTTTACTTACATGTTTTTTTCATCTCATTAGAGATAAATAAAAAATGTTTCATCATATCCCCATAGGTAGGTATCATTACTATCGAAAACGGTTTTGGTGTCCCAAAGATCGGACATTCAGTATCCAAAGATCGCAGGTTGAAAGACATCATGATATCACAGAAGTGTTTTACACAGTACACGTGTTGACAGCTACACTGCTCGGCTGAGACGTGGTGCGGTGTATCGTGCAGGTTTTCACACGTTCCTGACCTGCCGGATCGTGGCACGGGCGTCGGGCAGCGTGTCGCGGATGTTTAAAAACATTACCGGGTGTGCTTTCCTGTCTAGTGAAGTCATGCCCATACTGACTGCTGATGGGTGTTTACAGAAAGCCATTTAGCCATAATAAAATCATTCAGGTGACGAAAAAAACGATGCGGAGCATTGTTTCGCAAAAGTTACAAACTCCCCTCCCGCATATTAAAACGTTTTTTTTTCCAATTCGTGACTTGAAGATATTGACCGATTTTAATATAAAAAGTTTAGAGATCAGGAGCTTACTGGGCATATTTTTAGCACTAAGGAACATCGAATTTCACAAAAAACGGAATATCACTACCCCCTAGTGCCTAGCTCGCCTATACCTTGAGCCGGCCCTGGTTAATACATTATAAGACTCCTTTGTGTATACTTATATTATGTATATTTATCTATGGTGTACCTACACTGTCTACAAACACATCCTTAATTATAAAAATGAATAATTTCACTTACCAATGATTATCACATTTTCTTAGATTTACACGAAGCAGAGAAATATTTGTATTTTTTAACAGAACCATTAAAAATAGATGAGGATATTGATAAAGGGTTTCGCAGCTATCGTATCCCAATCCCCTTTTTTCCTGATCCATCGGTGAATTTTAATTCGATTTGGAGCGAAGTAGGATTTTTAATAATCAATTACTATTTAAAACCGTTGCCGTTCAAAATCAAATTGTCACATAATGGAAACCGATTAATCGTTGTCTTGTTAAAGTTGAGCGTTGAACGTTGAATAATTTTTATGATATCTATGTCGATGTAAAAATGAAATTTCATTTTCAATCGACTTTTTTGTAAATTTGTTTATTCATATTGGACGTTAGATTATAAAAATTCAATCTTTTTGGAAACGATAATTTACCAGAAATTCTAATTCTATTCACAATAAGTACCTACTTAGAAATCACAGGTAACATGTTTATACCATTTAATTGAACAATTTAATTGTTTCTTAGTTTAATTTTGTGAAATGTAAATAACTTTTGTATTAATTTATTTTTTCATTTTTTCTACCTATTTAAAAAATAGTTTTGAATTTTTTTAATGTACAATATATTAATAATTTAATGTAGGTACCTAGGTAATTAAAATTAAGAAAATAAACTTTTTTTTTTGTGCTTCAATTTTAGATTATTCTTTACTATGTTCACTATGAACTACCAAACTTTTTAAAGTTGATAATAATTAAACAAGGAACAAACCTAAGAAAAATGTATAAACGGTGAATTTACGAGTATAGTATGCGGTCTACCGGCGATTTATGAATATAGTATGCGTTCTAGCGCAAATAAATAAATTAAAAATTATATCATAATATTAAAGTATAATTATTGTAGTAGTAATAAAATAAAATTAATAATTAATAATTAGTTTGCCAAAAAAATTGTTGTCAATGAGTATAAATAAATATAATGTAATATATTATACAAAAACTTCCGCCATATCTCTCAAAAATGCATTAAATATATCTGATTTATTTATGCCACGTCACCATGTTTCCATGAGATATCTACAATAATATGTATCATTGTACTATACATATTACGTTAAATTTATTTCACATAACTTATAATAA